CGGGGGGACGTCCATTGCTGGGCCATCACTAATTGTGAGATTGCGAAATGAATCGATTTACTGGCCTCAAGCACCAGCTTGCTAGGTTTGCGTCACGATAAGACACCACAACTTAGGACTGTTCATTGTTGTTCAAAAGTTGTGACCCAAACACGATTGTGTCAGCTTGCTCTACAGTATGGGCAAGCAACGAGTCGCCAGACAACCTGTATATGAGGCTTTCGCAGGCCACTGTTGACCAAGACACCAGCGAGCATAACTGAAACTCTACCTGACTACTCAAAGCAGGGACACAGTCTTAAGATTTTGCAACACTTCCTTCTGATACCCTTCTTCATTTACAATCCTTCATTCTACTTTGTCAACACCGCAACCATGTTTGAGATTCCGAACATGAGTCTGGACACAGCACGAGACGAACTCGGCGATGGTTTCGCACGCAGGATCGACGTCGACTTCAAGCATTCCAAATGCATCTGGTGCAAAGCAGGCGGAACTAAAACGAAGAAGAAAAACCATTCCCTAATGGACTGCCCTACCACAAAACCTGCGGAGAACGACCAAACTTCGCTCTCAAATGAGATCTTTAATGCTGGTAAGGAAGATGCTGCAATTGCATATATTCATCAAAAACAGCTTTCTGTGTATCCTCGAGATGACAATGCGACGACTTTCTCGACTGGATTCTCACGGCCACATGTGTCAAATTACACTGTTCCTATTAAAATTGCACCCGCTCCTCGTTCGGCTCCTTCTGGTCTTTCGTTCACTCCCATCATCCCTGTCCCGAGCTCTCAAACACCTGCTAGTTCCGCATCTCAGGGCGTATCATCTAGTATCCCATCTACGTCCATCGATCAAAGCTCTTCCGGCTTTGTCAGTTCGTCCGTTGTGCCTACTACTGGTTCTACACCTGCAGCGACTGCCCCGATTTCAGTCATAAAAAACCACACTCTCCCGAACATGTTGTCAGATCAACCTCATACAGAAGTTGCCCCCCAGTCTTCTGCTTTTGGGTTGAATGCTGTTGCTTCTGTCGCTTCTGCTGTGCCAATTACCAATCTTCAGGACGCTCATGTGGTTGATTTCGGGGAGCTCTCACGCTACAATCGAGCTCCTGGCCCATCCGCTTACGTGAATGGAAATTCAGATCTCGTGAACACTGGGGAATTGAACGGAAAATTAGAGAAACTCAAGGATACCGCCTTACAATATCCCATCAGACAGTCGCTTCGCGAAAGACCAAAGAAAGGAGAGGTGCTTACCAACTACTTCAAAATTTCTGTTGATCCACAGACTACTTTCTACGAGTATCAAGTTCTAGGCATCCCGGACTCAGAGTCACGGGCTGGCAAGAAGCGCTACATGGACACCGCCATCCGAAATGTGCCCTTTCTTTACAGCAACAGGCATGTCTTCGCCACTGATAACGTAAACACCATCGTAGCCTGGGTCAACTTACACCAGCATATACCTGGTGCGCGGGTTCAGTCCGGCGATCTGATGACAGATGTTGGGTCAACATGGGCACTTCTCGATATCGTTGACCGCGATACGACGGTGCCTCTTGTCTTCCAGTACCTGCGACCAGTAGACATCTTTGGTCTCCAACAATACTCCAATACCACTCATCCAGACCCAGCTAATCATGACTCACACCCTGCGGAAAACGCTCTTAACATCATCATGACCAAGTGTATTGCGAGTAATGATACTTTGCAGCTGAACAATCACAAGTTCTACGTTCGCAATGCGTACTTTGACCTCAAGACGAACGAAGGAAATGCAGTCGCTCCACTTCGTGCCTTGCGCGGTTATTCATATAGGGTTCATTCCGCCCTGGGAAATATCCTTCTGAATGTCAGCCCCGCTAATAGTGCCTTCTGGAGACCTTTGTTAGTGAGTCAAATCTACCAGAATGGTAGCGGTCCGTTCGGCAATTCGAAAGATCATGTTAAGAGAGCGCTCAGGGGCGTACGCGTGTACATCGATTACAGCCGTGAAACCAAGGACAAGAAGTGCAAGCATCCTAAGTGTAACGACCCAAATTGCAGCACTGCCATACCACCAGACAAATTCAGCGCGAGAACCAGTTCTAATATGGACGGACAACATGCGCGTATCAAGACCATTCGTGGTTTTGGTAAGGCATGTAGCGAGCAAACCTTCTTGTGGGAACACAAGGATGTCTATGGCAATATCATCGCGGGCCAATCAGTTCAACCTACAGTCCAAGAATACCAGCAGAGACGTAATTTAGACCCTCAATCTTCCAGAATATTACTAACGTATGTCACAGAGTATGCTCGAGTGTTGCAACATCCTGGCTTGCCTACGGTTAATGTTGGTACTGCTGGTAGACCAACATGGTTCGCCCCTGAACATCTACGTATCCTCCCAGATCAGATATATGCGAAGATTATTCCTGACTTTGTTGCAAACGGTCTCCACCGAAACGCATGCCGAGAACCCCGAGAGATAAGATCTCGAATCGAACAAGAAGGACTCCGACACATCCCGATAACTGCAACTGGCCAGCTGGTATAATGGTCTTTCTGCCGTGACTTGTATACACTAACAGATGTCTAGAAAAACTGCCATCCGATAAGCCTCGATCCTAGAATGCTCCAGATACCATTCGTTCAGCTCAACCCTGCCACAATTGTGTACTCGTTGACAGCCGTTACCAAGACCGTTAACGAAAACAATGGAAGATGGGATCTCAAAGAGACCCAATTCTTCAGAGGCAATGCCGAATCTCTGAACTGGCTCTTGATCACTGGACAAGGTGTCGACGAACATGGTGAGTCAGTGAGGGCGTTGACCCGTAACTTCGATCAAAAAGTGAGAGAGACTGGTGTTTCACGAGCCTCTAAAAGGGTTAAGCAGGTACTATCTTTAACAGATGACACCGAATCCACCCTGAGAATGAAGCTCGAGAATTATCTGCGAGAACATCGAGAAGATGTACCCGACATCGTGGTATTATTTCTGAAGACGAAGGATCAGCATCTCTATTCCAGCTTCAAGTTTCTTACAGATATCGTCTTTATCTTGCAGTCTATCTGCGTCACTGAAGATAAGATGAGACCAAAGAATCTCAATTGGAACAACGACTCTGCCCTCGGACAATACATGGCCAATGTTGCTATGAAAGCGAATCTGAAGATGGCTGGAATCAATCACTCAGTGCAAGGCGTAGAAGAGCAGCTGAAAAACACCATTGTAATTGGTGCAGACGTCACTCATCCAGGAAGCGGAGCGTTACAGGGTACGCCTTCGATCGCGGCTATTGTCAGCTCTCTAGAGGCCAATGGCGGAAGGTTTCGCGGCAATATGCAGTTGCAAACTGCGAAACAAGAGGTAAGTTCAACAAAACACCAATCCCAAGCTTCTCTGCTAGCTGCTGATTAAACAGATCATCCCTTGTCTCGGGGACATGCTGATTGAAGGTTTATCGGAGTGGTGTCAACTCCACCAGCGCTTTCCCGAGAATGTCCTCTATTATAGAGACGGTGTGAGCGATACTCAGTACGACGAAGTTATCACCAAAGAGCTCTCAACTATCAAGAACGCGTTCATCGGAGTTGCCAAACAGTTCAAAAAGCATGTTCCCGAATTCAAGACAACTGCGGTCATCGTCACCAAGCGGCACAACACTCGTTTCTTCCCCCGTCAAAAAGATGACGAGATGCGTGGAAACGGCAACTGTAAACCGGGACTTCTTGTGGAAAGCTCCATAACGTCACCATACTACACAGACTTCTATCTTCAATCCCATAACGCCATCAAGGGGACTGCGCGATCGTCCCACTACTTCGTTCTACAGAATGAAATGGGCATCGAGATATCTGATCTGGAGGACCTTACCCACAACCTATGCCATACATACGTCCGGGCTACCACAGGCGTGTCTTACGCATCTCCTGCTTATTATGCGGATAGACTTGCGGAGCGGGGTCGCTGCTACTTGCGCGAATGGTTCAATCCCAGCAACGCTAAACGCAACGCCTACGAGACTCATCGCCAGCAGGTCGAAGCTGATGTAGAAGCTGCACGCAATCGTCCTCAGCGCACTGGAAATCGCAAGAAGACGCCAGCAGAGATACAAGAAGACAAGGCCGATAGAGAACAGGTTTTGCAGCAAATGAGAGACTACATCCGGCCAGTCGTTGAAACTAGATGGAACACGCCCATCCATAACCTCGCTGAGCCAGGCTTCAGACCGAACGCCAAATCCAAGTATGACCATCTGAAGGTCTGAAGGGAACTATGTACTGGATGTAGGTCCGAAACAGCAACGGGTGAGATGCGTTTGCTGGTGGATTACGAAAACTGCTGATTCACAGTTGCCGACCATTCTTCTTCGTTATTGCTTCTTTTGTGGATTTTCCTTATCTCCTTACGATCTGTGACTGCGTCGCATCTGTCTCGTCTGCCTCTTGTTAGTCGTTGTTGCTTTCTGTTTTCTCTAGTCCTTTTGGTCTTCCTGCTGCGCACTGTATGCACCGTTCGTATCATAGACCTTGCTTTGAGCCTATAGAGTTTCTTGACTAGTAAATTCTCCAACACACACTTTCGTTGCAACTATGACACTTCAGTAATGACTTAACTGTCTTGAAAGGGCGTTTCTGTGAGAGCTTAGTGTCAAGACATGGCATCAACACTGCACGTGTGCACCAAGATGACTGACCATGCTACGGTGGTTAGGGATGCATTTTGTGCGCTACACCCAACTTGACTGCAAATACTGGACGCTGAAGAAGCACAACACGGAGGAATAAGAGCTGAAGAATGATATGGCTTCTATTTCAGAAGGTTGCTTGACTTTGCGGAAGCTTGACAAAAAAGATACTGACTTGTTGACATGCAACACTAGACAGCTTTACCCCCAAACACCTTTGCCATTATGACAGGCTTTCCCTAGTCTAGACCATGTCAATACAAACGCCGTGGCGCTGAAATGCAATGGAGATGAAAGATCCAGAAACCGATATTGCGCCAACCCGTCATCAACTGCGTTAGAAACGTGTGCGGCCATTCGCTACACCAAGGTACTCTGATCATCTCCATTGACCCTGGCTCAGCTTCAGCAGGCCCTCTACACATCCCGCCTCTTCTGCGGAGTTTATACTTGAACGACCACTCGCATCGTCACCGTGCATAAACTGCCGCAGTTCATCGTCTTGCTCTGGGTCGACGACACCCTTACCGCCTTTTTGCTTGTCCTTGGCTAGCATTGCACCGAGACTTGAGGTCTGTGACATCAGGTCTGTGTTCTCTCCCAGTATCCGACGAGCTACACGGGAAGCAGGAGGTGTAGCGGCGACCTGGCGATCGCGTCGCACAGACTTGGGCGCGTCAGGCTCCCAGTTCTCCTTGTCGCTTTCCGTTTGTGGGAACTCGTCCGACTCAGTGCTCGCGCCGTCCTTCTTGTAGTCGGCATAGTCGTTGTTAGAAAAGCGGCCATTGATGGTCGAAGCGCGTTGCATAGCACCGCGGGACTTTTTAACGAGTGGGCTACCCTGCACTTTGTGTGAGCTGTGACGTGCCATCAGGGGGCTACTGTTTTGGCGAGCTTGGTTCTGTGCTAATATTCTTCGGTTCGCGCGTAGTATGCCAATCGCGTCAGCCGCACTGCCACTCTCTTCTTGCTCTGCACGTGTTATTAAGCTGGTTGTTGACCGACTCTCTGGGTCACACCAGAACTCCCACGCGCGCGAGTCTCGACTCCTTCCTATGTTCGATGCTGTCCTAGGTACCTTTGGGCTTGGCTCGCCTCGAGCAGCAGCAGCTAGGCGATCGTTCAGTCCAGTTGCGCTGTAGCTCCGTCGCAGGCCAGCAGCAGCACGAGAGAAGGAAGAAGGCGTCTTCTTCGATTTAGGGGGTGATGGGGTTTTGTCAAGATCGGTGACGATGCGTGCTGTGCCGTCCTCATTGGTTGATATTCGTACAAAGGAATGCTTGCGCTTCAGTGGTCGGGAAGGGGTCTTTGTCGCATTGTCGGGCGACACAGAAGGCTGCGGAGGGTTCGGAAAGGTGATGACTTCAGGCGTGTAGTCTTCGAGATATCGGACGAATGACGCGCTGCGACGGTTCGATATCCATGATGTGCGTTGTTGTGTGGTGCCCTGTGAGGATGGTGCAGTCTGTTGCGAGTTGCTTACTTCGGCAGATGCATTTTCTGTACTTTGGGCTTCGGTCGATGGTTCTACGCCTGCTTCATTGGAGCTTCCTGGATCGAGCGCGGAAATGGCAGTGTCGATGGTGCGCGGTTCTGGGATGGTTTCGTCTGAAGTAAGTTCTGGTGTTGCAGGCTGCTCAGGTGGGTCGGACCTGGGACACTCGTCCGACTCTTTCGGCTCCGGTGCGTTATCGATATTGTGCGCTATGGCTACCGTTTCGTCCTCGGTGAGCGGGTCCGACATGGTGGAAGAAGAAGACATCAGCGATGCTGTGGAAGATGGTTCGAGGGGCCGTGAGCGACGGCGGTCGTTTTGGCGTTTATCTAAAGCAGAGGGTGATCAGAACTTGTTTCGAAAATCATGCGTCCGTTAAGCCACGCGCGACATATTGGCGCGATCCAATAGAAGGCGGATGAAAAGCAAGCAGCAGCGACGCGTAGAGCAGACGGTAGTACTTACTTTGAAACCAGATCTAGGACGCGATGTTAGCAGGGGCGCGCACACTCGTGACGTGGAGCAATATTGGCGCCTTACCTGAACTTCCTTCTCGCCAAGCGCGACTTTTCGGACAATTTCGAGACGTGCCGCCTTGTCTGGCTTCGGATTCCTGAGGTATTCGGATTTTAGGACGTCCTCGTCTTCCTTGCTGCAAGATGTCGTGGTCAGCGCTGATGGGGTGTTGGAGTGTCGCTTGCCCGCGGGGTAGGCCGAAGTAGTTCCCGATGGTAGGTTGAGCACGAACCAACGCGTTGAACATGGGTCGACACGGATGCGATGGAAGGGCAGAACTTGAATGGGATAGAAGCATACCTGGTGCGTCTTCTCTTCTGGCGAGCAAGAGCCTTGTTGTCAACATCCGGCGGCATATGGTTCGCGACGGTTTCCTGCGAATGCACGAGAAAGGCCAATTGACCACTAAAACTGGCGCGTCTAGCAGTGGGAAGACGCGATGACGCAGGTGACGAGAACGATGGCAGGGGCGATGAGGCGGACATGATGGGATGATTACAACGAATGTCGGGGAATGAACTTGGTGTTATCAAAGAAGGTTTACCATGCGAATGAATATTAAAGTAGGAAGCACAACGCGTTCAATATGGTGGCAGGAAAGTAGTGTGCGAGGCGCGTCTTCAGTCGCGTACGTATCAGATTGGTCCGAGCCGGGCGCTTGCCTATGTCGTGCATACCACTTGCCTGAACTCGTCGTCTGTGCACACAATCACACCAGCCTCATATCTGCCATTATCCATACTGCAGATCGTCACGTATGCACGAGCATGCTGAGGCTGAGGAAACAACACGCTCAATTATTTCCTATCCAAGCGCATCTCATCCGAACGCGTGCATCCTCTGAGCGAATTCGTCTTTCTCATGGTTTATCGGCGCGCCTTGCGCAGAACTACGCGAATGCGGGACGACAATTATGAAATTTTGCTTTTCCAGTCTTCTCAGCCCTATTTTAGAGCGCGCTCGAGGATCGCGTATGGGCACGATCAGTTACACAGCATAGTCCTCCTGCTGTTGCATCCGTATGCTGTAGATTGTGGTCCCTCTTCGGACGTCGTCTACTCCTACGCGAGATGCACACGTGAACGAGACGTGGTGAGATGAATTGCTCTATTTGCAAGCGCGTTTGGCCGAGGCAGCTAGTGCTCAAAAAGAACGCGGTGAAACACGTCGGCACGTGACGCGCTAACACTTGGGATCGTGCCCGCGAAACACGAGTCAAACACCTCACGGTTCCAGTCACATCGACGTTCCACACAAACTCTCTATCATCGGGAACCTCCGATGCCGTCTACGCATCATCGCGGTTACGATCTAGGCAGCGACACGCTATCCAACGATTATCTAGGTCCGGCCTGCAGTCTAACGACCTTGGCGACAACTCTCACCGTAAGATGCACTGCACAATACTAAACTACCGTTCCATCTCTATTCCCGCAGATGCGCGTACTCACTTGTCCTTCTTAGCATCTGACCTTCTGCATACACTTCTGTCTAATCCCACGCTCATTGTTCGATTTTCCTGTTACCCCACCTCCACCGGTGAAGACGTCCATACAAGGCAGAAGGTTTTAGTGTAAGAGTCGGCGTTATCCGTAACTTAGAGACACAATTCTCTTGCGTAAAGACCTATCGGCCCCTTTCTGCCTTGAACAATACATGCCAACGATGCCTGCACCTAGGGCGATGAGTAAACTGCTTCCCTCGGACCGAAGTCGACAGAAAGCATTCGTCAGACAGCTTACTATCATACATCCACGTGATGCGTATGGCACTTCTGGAGATCCAATGCTCGCGCCTTTAGCGATGAAGATTTAACCTGGTTCCTGTGGCGTTATGCAACCATTGAGCCTCACCGGTTTTGGCCCCATTTCCCTATCTCGGCAACTCCCCGCTGCCTCCTGGCCCTCTGCTACAATGAACGATTGGTGGAGGCTTCCCCTACCTAGCTTCTAGCCACCAACGGTTTGTCGGTCTGGATGGCCTTGCAGAGCAACACTACCCGGCCGCTAGATTCTCATTCGTGTATCCGAGCTACTACACCGAGGACCTCGCACAAGGTCTTCACAACCGAGAAACTGCAGTTTGGCTAGAGATGCGGTCGCATCGTTGTGTAGGGCTAGCCCTACGGGCCCACTTTCATAGGTAGGTTCCGCTTCCGCTGCAACAATTCCGGGACTTTGGATTCCTTCTTACGATACGATCCGTCTCTCAACTACTGGGACGTGGGTCATGACTGAACGTTAAGCTAGGACCTCAATTGGCCGGAGCTCACTTCTTAGTTGCATGATCGCAGGACATCATTACGCACGGTCTCAATGCCTGTCTGGCTTTCATTCGTCGAGGCTAGAGCTTTCTTTCATCGATTTCATCTCTACTCCTTTGGCGAGACGCAGAGCTTAGGCCTCTATTCCTCTCTTTCCGGCATTTATCCCACGTCAGTAACAGGTGTGCCATCTCTTCCACTGTATCACATGTTCAGCCAAGAGCCATGAAACGTTCATACACACCAAACCAGCGAATCGGCCCCTTTATATCGGCTGGCGACCAGCGTCCTAGCGGAAGAGGCGTTGGAAATAGGCAACTGGTCCTAAGAGGCTAAGAATTCCGCCCTCAGCCCTTCACCATATCTCGCCACGCCTACCTCCGGACATCCTTGAACGTTACAGAAGACGGTGGCAGTCGTTCTCCCACCATGTTAGCACTAGACTGGGCTTGAGGAGATTCCTTGACACAACAGGTTTTCCGTCCGTTACTTTACGCTTCAAAACATGCTCATTGGTAACGTCACTTCCACATACGTCTACATTGTAAGCGATGTCCCAATGAACGCCGCTTTTCAGCATTATTGGAACATTTCAGGCCGGCTACTATGATCTGTGCGTCCCATTTACCGTCTTCACTGATCCAGTGCCACCCTTGTGAGTCACGGGCCTCTATATCATAACAATGAGGGTGTTGATGGGCACAATATTGAAGCCCGACTTACGTCTGAGCTCTGTGGGACAGAAGTTACAGAGTTGAAGTCATAAGTCTACATCCCCCAGAATATTCATTCGACTGAACAAAGCTTGGGGAAGCAATGTCCAGTAATATGCGCGTCGCAATAGCAGGTAAGGCATCCGTTCGACAAGCAAGAACACCACTCATGCAGACATCCTTCTTACGTTTGCAGGTACCTCTGGCCTAGCACTCTTGATCGCCCAAGAGATCAACAACTCGACGAGCCACCAGCTGATCATCCTATCACGGACTGTAAGTGCCTCAGGGGAATGATACACCATATTTTGACTACAAGGAACCGCACTGATACTCATCAGCATCAAACAAGCCTCATAGCGTCCGGCTACAACTGTCAAGCTGTGGATTACAATAACCCCGCTTCGCTTCAACACGCGTTAATGGGCGTTGACACAGTCATCTCAACTGTCATGGGCAATCCACAACTCCGCCTCATAGAAGCGGCTGTACAGTGCAGGGTACGCCGCTTTGCACCTGCAGAATTTGAAGGCCAGCCAGGTTTGCGAGGCCAGAATGCGTTGCTCGATCGGGGACGCAACTCAGCTTTGGCTTTGTTGCATCATTATCGCAGCCATATGCAGTATACGGTTTTCGTTTGTGGCATACTATACGAGCGCTTCTCTGTTAATGGGATGATATCTCATCGCCTCGGGGTCAACAGCGGGTATGGTAACGAGGGGGAGTTCATTGCGGACCCCCGGCAGATGACTTCCATGGCGCCAATTTACGACGCAGCCAACAATCTCTCATCGATATGCTTAACCTCTGCGTACGATGTGGCACAATTCGTGGTTCGTGCCCTCAACATGCCTACATGGCCTTCTGAGATGAGCATGTGTGGCGAGCGCATGACTGTTCATGCTTTGGTCGAAACCATCAGGGCGTGTAGAAGTAAGCATAGTCCATCCTTGCCCGAAGAGACGGTTTGCTAAGATATTGTTAGACAGACCCTGGGCTAGCATCGATTACCAAGCCCCCGCGAGTAAGTAAACAGCCTTGTACAGACGCACACTCAGATGCTGACGGACGACATAGACCTTGAGTACCAGATGACAATGGCTCAATTGGGAGGAGACACCGCTGGACAAAGGCGGCTCGCACCGCTCCTTGCGACAGCAGAGGGGCGCTACGATTTCGTGGTGCCCGCCTATCTCAACGCTGTTTACCCAGACATTCAAGTAACTCGCTTCCAGGACTGGTTTATGCGTAACTGGGCCTCGATCCCATGAGCAGCGACCGTTACCAGAGCCTCCCGGACGTTCGACAATACTTCAAAGCCGAAGAATACCCGCACAACCCTGAACATCCTTGAAACTCGGGCAGGCCGTTGATCCTTGGAAACTCAACAACTTGAGATGGGGCTCCAAATTTCACTCTCCTCACTTCTCTTCTACTCTCCTTTCATTCTCGAGCCTGTTTGGTTTACGAATATGAGGCTTTTCATTGGATTGAGATCTCTGTGTTGCGCTTAAGCTATGGTTGTGTTGACGATGGGTTTCTGTCTGCAATTGCGATATATAATCACTTTAATCCTTTCAAGGTTGCCGATTGATGTCGTCGTCGTTCATTACAAGGGTTGTGAAGTTCTGACCGAGGTTGGTATCGCTTAGGCCTGAGACACTACCTGGTACGCCTCCACTCGGCCAACACCACACGCGACACTTTGCGGCTCGCTCCTTCCGAAGCATACACGGCGCTAACTAGATTTGCAGAAGCATACCCGATCTGCGATGATGTGAGAAGGGCCTGGTCAGAGTTTGACGTGAATCTTCGATGGAGAATTACATCAACTCGACGTCACCGGTGGGGCTTCAGTTCCCCGCTACCATAATAAAAGTCCAACGCGCCTGAACATTCATTTCTTTTCAGTATCACAACCACAACTTCTATTACATTTTCAACACTAGATCTAAATTCTCTACGACCTCAACTCCCTCTCCATATCAACAACGTAAGTTTAATTCCACCGAATGGTGTGGTTTCGAAGTTGTCATTTTCAGCGCGAGACTCGAAACTCACCAGCATGCACGCGTCTGTTTTTCACACACTGACATACATACAGCACAAACACATTCAAAATGGTCTCCTCTCAGCAAGGCTACTCCAACACCACCACCGACATGAAGGGTAACACCCAAGCTGTCAACGAGGCTCAGTCTAACCTCCCTCTCCCCGAGCAGCCCCCCGTCGCCTCAGACTTCAACTCCGCCGATGCTAGCACCGTAAACGTTGGCTCCGGTCGCCAAGAAGCTTCTTTCTCATCAGGTGGTGGTGCCATCCGCGACCCCGCTGTCGGAGCTGGTGGTGTTGCCGGACGTGAGGCTAAGGATGGACTTGGCGGCATTCCCAACGATGCTGTCTCTCGTGAGGCGAAGGACCACTCTGGTCTTGCCGACACAACTGGCAAGGACTACGGATACCCCCAGAAGAACGACCCCAGCGGCAAACAGTAGAGTACTGTACGAGGAGGAGTAATAAGATACCCGAAGCATAATGGGCGTTTTCACGATTATGATGGCCACTATCACTGCGTTTAGTAGCCGGACTGCAAGAGCAGTCTTACGATAATCAATGAATGAAATGAATCAACTAGTCAACATTTCGACATGTGTGTATTATGATGTTGTGAGAATGACGAGTGTGTTGATCAATCCAGCATCCCGTGTGTTTTATGTGATGTTGACGCCAGATACACGAGATCATGACAAGTGCTCGCGTACGTCACACATAGCAACAGCGCCTTGCCGAGTAGCACCCGTTCCTGACGCCATCTCAGCCGCAGCATGCATGCATGCCCAATTCTAGTACACGAACGGTGGATTCTCTGCCGGTTTCCGATCTACGGCCGTTCGACCAGAGCGGGGTCGTTTTGGTAGGGCTGAAGCAAGGTGGGATGTTTCAATGTGACGAGGTCATGACGCAAGTACACTGGGGCGTGAGGGTTGAAGGTATACATACGACAGCTTGCAGCGTACCAAACTATCTCACATCACTCAAATCAATATAATCTCTTCATTTCAATCGATTGAACGACACTCAATTTCAACGACCACCTCTCAAGAACCTATAATCGCATCAATATGTCGGCTTCGCACGGACAGAAGGTATACTCTGCCCCTTGCGCTTTCATGCTGTACCTTGCGGTCTTATCATGACCTCATGTGACATGTTATAATATCGGTGAAACTCTCGCTAACTCTCTACTCTCAGGTCACTACCGACCCCGCATCCAAGATTCCTATCAATGAAGGTGTTGGCACCGTAACTTCAGACTCTCTAGCAGGCGAGTCTCTGAAGAACTCTGGCTCCTTTGGCGAGGGCAACCCTAAGGCTGCAGCAAGTAAGCAGCCATCCTCATCAACCACCACGAACACCACCGACGCTACCAACGCCACTAAGCTCGATGCCGCTGTTAACGCCGAGGCGCGCGACGCACAAGAAGGATGGAACGAGGAGAAGATCATGAGCTCAGGCAAGGGTCTGAGCGGTGCTTCATCAGGAGGTGCGGCTGGCACAGCACCAACCGGTCTTGCTGCTGGAAAGAATGTCGACCCAAGCGTCCTTCAGCCCAAGGGCGCCAACTTGACAGAAGATCCCAACATGAGCGGCAACACCAAGTTTGGTGAGATCGGTACAAAAGACGACCCTGCTAGGCAGGCAGAGCTCGACCTCTCCAAGAAGACTGCAGCTAGTGCTGGGGTTGAAAACAAGGATCTGGCCCAGGGCGGCGACAGCAAGTTCAGCGCCTTGGGAGACACTACCGCTTGAAAGATGAATTTCCCATAGCGATGAACTTATCATAGATTAGCGAAGTATAATTAATGAACACATAATGATTTGCAAGCTTAGTTGATGGTTAGTATTGAATGCGACAAACTCGAGGGGTGAAACCAGCACGTGGCGGGGGTTTCCAAATCGGGCCTCTTCCGCGGGCACGGACGCGGGCCGTTGCAGCACCCAAAGGTGGCCTTTCGCGACGCGGCATTAGCCCCGACTGTCAATGTCATTCATTAATCCATCTACGCTTCTTTCCTCTACCTAACAGTCCACCGAACCGACATTGGGTCTGCAGTACCCCGATTGCACATTTGAGTGCCCACCATGAACGGCTACGGCGACCATGGGCACGAGGAGGACCCGTTCGGGCCAGCAAAGGGTGGAATCGTATCAAGTTTCGATGCATTCCGTAAGTGTTCTCTCGCACACTGATCGCAGGAAGAAGACCAGACCAACGAGTGCCATCATGGTCTCGATATGTAGATACGTGTAGTGATGCGACCTCGCAGGCCCACGCGACAACATGCTTCGTGCTAGATATCACCTCACGGCTGACGCTTATCTACAGCGAAAACAAAAAAGACATACCTCGTCCAAGGTCGCAACTCCTCCGCATGGACAGTAACGCTTATATTGACATGCATCTACCTCTCCTGGTCCGAGATATCGCGCTGGTTCGCTGGCACAACCTCGCAGTCATTCGCCGTCGAGAAGGGCGTATCCCACGACATGCAACTGAACCTCGACGTGATAGTAGCCATGCGCTGCGCTGATCTTCACGTCAATATGCAAGATGCTGCTGGTGATCGCACCCTCGCCGGCGAACTCCTGCGCAAGGACCCAACATCATGGTCGCAATGGACTGGCAAGAACATTGAGAGTGGAACGCACGAATTGGGCAAAGAAAGCGGCAAACAGGCGCCTGGGTGGGAAGAGCTTTGGGATGTCCACGAGCAGTTAGGCAAGGCGCGGAAGAGGAAGTTCAGCAAGACACCCCGGGTGCGCGGTCAGACTGACAGTTGCCGTATCTACGGAAGTCTGATCGGAAACAAGGTCCAAGGTGACTTCCACATCACAGCGAGAGGCCATGGATACATGGAGTTTGGAGAACATCTAGACCATTCCTGTAAGTACAAGGAGTTACGGCTCGCGAAGACACTGCCACTAATGTTCAACAGCATTCAACTTCTCTCATATCATCCGCGAAATGTCTTTTGGCCCGTACTATCCCTCTCTCGTCAACCCCCTCGACTCCACTATCGCTGTAACACCAACACCGGATGATAAGTTCTACAAGTTTCAGTACTACATCTCTATCGTGCCCACCATCTACACTGATGACGCTTCGATGATTCCTCTCCTCCAAGCAATCACGTCCACACAGGACCACCCTGCCTCAAACATCTTCCACACCACGCACGCCATCAAGACCAACCAATACGCTGTTACTTCACAGTCTCACAAAGTACCAGAGACCTACGTACCCGGCGTGTTCGTTAAATTCGATATCGAGCCGATTATGCTGGCCGTGGTAGAAGAGTCGGGAGGCTTCTGGAGGTTGATTGTCAGGCTGGTTAACGTAGTGAGTGGCGTTATGGTAGCTGGAAGCTGGGCATGGCAGATGTTTGATTGGGGAAGTGAAGTTCTGGGTAAGAGGAGGAGAAGAGGCGATGGCGTTGGTGTGCTCGGGACACCGTCTGTGGAAAAGAAGAGCTGGGATTAAGAAGAAGAATCGATACGAAGGAGGATGCATTCAATGGCGTTCAGGGCATGGGAACATGAGTTTCATTTTCGAGTCTTGTGAGTATGCAAATATACTAGTTATGATTATCTTAAGCTGCACCGCTCATCGAGAGAACATGGTATGGATGATGGAAGGTAGATGGGGAGATGACGACTACACAACAACGGTATGTTCCGCTCACTCTTTTGACGTCTACAATAGGCAAAGACATAGCTGACATCATAGAACTAGCGAGTGCTATGGCTAGGCAACTCTTGCAAACTACGGCTTGCATCTCAGGCTTTCCCTTACTTTCCATTTCTTTGATTTGTCGCTTGACGCGTTTGTACCACAACGCGGTACGCAACTATGTCTCACTTGGATTTGCAGCACCATCAATTCTCCATAACTGTTGTTTTTCTCGCCAAACACTGACAATACACCACACCCCACTTTCGATTTGAATTAACTCAGCTTGATTGTAACTATGTCGTCGCCAAGCCAGCCACCAGACCGAATTGATTCGCACTCTCAAGATGGGACTCAATCGCGCGAGCCAGCCCAACCCCGGAGGACGGCTTCTGCAAACGACCTTAATCAAAGCGCCTCACTGCAGACTATCAGGCTGGCGGATGGTCCAGGAAGCGGACACGTGCTCGTTAACAGAGAACGGTCGTCAAACGATGTCCGCGGAAGTGCTGACCAGGGCCCTCAATCGGAGACGTTGCCGCAATCCTCAGAGCAGCGTCCTGAAGATGCAAGAATGCGACATGGAATCATTGTATCGCATCGGCGAGTTCAACAGCACCAACGGCACATGGATCTAAGCATGCGTGTGGGCGAACAACAGCAACAAGATGCACTTCGTCCAGAACGAGCTAGAATGCTAGATATAGACCTGCAGCATCTTTGGCTACCAGCCTCTAGTCAAGACGCGCCGCTAAACTCAACTCAAGAGCCAGCCCAGTCTGGTCGGCCTCGGAGCTACATGCCCTCTCTTCGATCTCAACCTGAATTCTATATGACAGGAGTGACAGCTGTTGACACTACAGCGGAGCCTGTTGCCAACGACGCCGAATGTACAATATGTCTGGAACCTCTCTCAGATGATGTGGTCAAGTTCCAGGCTTGTGGTCACATGTTTCATACAGTCTGTGTACAGAGTTGGTTCGATCAGAGCGCGCCGCGTACGGGTCATAAGCGAGGTACTTGCCCGAACTGTCGACACGAACTGTATGGTAAGTATGCCTGTGCAAACTGCATGTGAGACATACGCTGACTTCGTACACCTACATTCAGAGCCAGACCCACAGTTTGGGCGTACGGCGCCGCCTCAGAACATCGAACTGCCAGTGATAGGTCGTGGCCAATTGCATCCCATATCTTTTCCTAATCGCGAACCATTCGGCCGCCGCGAAGAAGCACCTGCTATTACACGACCATCTAATAGCGATCGTCGCAGGCAGGTCAATGATGGCATTCAACAAAATTTGGTGGGAGTGGATCAACAAGAGCGTGCAGAACAAGCCCTGGCTGTCACTCCGCAGCAGTATATCACTAATCGTCGGACATTGCAGGGCGAACCCATTCGTGTAGACCGGCGTCCTCGCGCTGTTGCCTTGGAGCATGTGAGAAACGATCCTCCAGCTCAAGAAGACGCGGATAGTCTTCCCCCAAGGACATCAAGTCTCCCTAACGAGGGAGCTATTCGCCGTCAGCAGGCTAGTCAGATTATGACTGATGCATTGCGGATTGATGGATCTCCCAGAAATTCGCAACTTGACAATGGACGGGCGGACTCAGACACGTCGGACCACGTTTCTAATGTTGGTGGCCCTTCTGGGGCACCGTTGACGCCGCTGGGAGCCTCCGGAGCGCCAACACCGACAACGAACACACAATCAGTACAACCGCGTGAGTCTCGAGCCATTCTCGCAGCACGTGCAATAGCACAGCGCCGCTCTCTACTACTGGAACCAGATCTGAACAACAGAGACGCAGATCCTCCACAGACCGTACGACGTTCAACATCAAGTTCTCAACATACGACAGCTAATGGAAACCGTGACCCTATATGGCTTCCTGATTTCCATGGCCGTCCGAGAGTTATCAATCCACAGCCTGAGCTTACACCGACTGAACGCGCTATTCGTGACCTTCAACAGGAACAGAGCTTGTTGTTGGATCGTCTTCGTGAGGTCCAAAACCAACTAGGTCGGCACCTGCAAGCAGCAGATGCCTCTAGAGAGCGTACGACTGTAGTGCGTCGACCCGCTCCAAATCACTTTCCACGTGAAGCACAGGATGATTTGTCAACTGGGCGGCCACCACCAATTGCAATTCCTCACCTTGCTGATCCAGCGTTTCCTGACTTGCGATCGGCTCGCGAGTTCCCTGATCGAAGGGCTATAGGCTCAGGAATTAGTATATGGTCGGCCGATTATGTCAACACAAGAGAACGTAACAACGAGACACAAGCACCTGGACAGTTACTTCCTTCCCTCTCGAACTACTCCGGCAACAGGCCAACCGCTGAACCGCCCACCGGGATTTCAAGCAGCAATGAGGAAATTTCATCATCTCTAGTAAGCACATATCCTGCGACACCATCAGATCAACAGCTTGCCTCAGCAGACAACCTGGGATCGAGATCAAGATTCAGGCAGCGAGCCGAGGAGGTTCTAGAGCGTATGAACCGTGAGCAGGCAGATATGGAGAGGCAAATATCGAATAGCATGTCTTTGGATCAGTCTCTCGTACCTGCACTCACTGATGACAATACTCCAGAGGCACCGCAGTAGATTCGTCCCATTATGATTTTAATGAGGTTGGAAGGAAAGCGGTCTAGAAACAACAGATATCTCTTGGAGTGTTACAGCAGACAGTATTTAGATTACTACAAGATTCATCTGTGGGGGGAGGTGGGGGGGGGGGGGGGCGTGTTGAGAAGGCATTCACAGAAGATTGCGAGCTGTTGAAGGGAATAATACTCTTCGAGCGTTCAAGCCGGCTTTTTGGCACGCGAGATCGAGTCACTCTGGTGGGAACGATAAAGTTAGACTGCTCTCACTCAACAATTGGCCATCATTCCGCCTATTAGCATAATTGATTTGAGACGCCATGGTCCTCTCAAGCGTCTCGTCGCTATTCCAAATGTTTGTTCGATGCCTCTAATGTAGACTGGCTTGTAAAAGTGTGACAATAGTGAGCCACAAAGAAACAATCTCTCCAAACATGATGCTTCTTCGTACTAGATTCCACAGTGTACGTATTATCTTCCTTCTCTAGTATAGCCTGACCTCATTGGGACTTGATAACAGAATCATCACTACAACACACTGAAGGCAAGCGACCTATGATAAGTGGTTCCTCTGAACGTCAGTAGACTCCATCAATGCGCTTACTCATTTACTCATATACTCCTATCCGCCTTGAAAAAGACCAGGATATGAACCAATCAAGCAGTCTAGAGATCCAAGAGCCCAGCATGATACCAGCAGTTAGCATGCTCGCTCTTCGCAGCCAGGGTGAGTTTTTCATGGTCTGTGTCGTGCCCGTAAGCGCTCAACCTGAGAGCTCCGATTGTTCAATCTGTACGGAACACCTTGTCAAAGATGTGGTACGATTAGCTGGTGCATGCGGCCATACGTTCCAAACATTGTGCCTTCTCGCCTGGCTTTCCGGTACTGCGCGCCGAAATCGCGCTTGCCCAACCTGCCGCTGTGAGCTATACGCCGCACCGGCGAATCGATCATCGGATTCGGCCGTTCCAATCCGCACCGCAGGATATATCATCGCCCAGAGAGTAAACACAGAAGCTCGTAGATATTCAGGCCTGCTAGCAGCTAGCAGGCTTGTTCCAGGAGCTTTTATGAGACCTCGGGGATATCATGAAGAGATGGACCTTCGAGTAGCGCACGACACTCCTCTTGCACAAAACTTTTCGGCGTCGATCCCTAACTTTACCAACATGTTATTCTCGGGCGGAATCGATCCAAACATGATACCCCGTGCCCGTCGCGCGGCACTACGCCTTGGTAGTAAAGAGATTCTTTTCCTGACACTCACCTTGACGGTTCTCATGAGAGTATTGTCACCAGAATCATTGCAACAATTCCAGTTTTTATGTTGAACATACGCCATCTGATAGTGTGCAAATTCTGAAATGGTGACAAATTTCACATTTTCGTGTTATTCATCCGCTACGCAGGTTATAAAGACCCTGATGGACTGCAACGTAGCTTCACATAAACGCAAGCTCGAACATCATCCTCCTCCAATCAAGCAAGGGGGAATCTTGGAAGCCGTCGCAGAGCCTGGATCGAATCTGTCGTGACTTCAATGCCATCCAATCCTTTACTTCATCACCCACTCTCTTTCACCCTCTTGCGGGTCCATGACATCACGCTCACTTCCGAGCCATTTGGCATCCTCGAACGGCAGTATAACAGCCAGCACTTTCGCCTTGACTAACCCCAATGGCAATGGCCCAAACGATCTACTATCCCGGCTCCATTCCAGATTATCTCCTTGTATCCAGCAATGTCCCTCAGGTACCCTTATCAGTTCTTCTCTCACACTCGCCCATTTGCCTTCGACATCTACTGCACCCAAATCAGAATCACGGCGCCCAGGCGTAACTACACTGACGAAGTCGCCTGGCATTCCGATGATGCGCTTACACCCGGTCAGTTGCGGGAAGATAGGGTGGGTGTAAGTTATGACATCGCCAACGTGCAGGTTACGCATACGGCGATGGAGCGAGGAGTAAAGAATCCGCGGTTGAGATCGGTAATCGTAAGAAATTGTAGGAGTCATCGAGATTCCGCTAGTAGAGCCTGTGCCGCCGATGTAGGAGGAGAATGCGTGTGTAATGAAGAAGCCTTTCGCGACAATGAGCACGCTACCTGCGGGTATGTTAGTAAGTGACCCTGATAGTAGTGCCCGAAAAGACTTACGGCCAATCACCCTAAGAGAGTGGTTGAGGTAACGGTCCATGGTGGCGGCATTACAATCAGATCCTAAGCTTTGTTATCGCTCTAGCATATTTGTTCTTATGACAATGTGCCTGGAAGCGCTCGCAGTGCCGATGCGGAGTCGTTATGGCTAGAGCATCATGAAAGTGAAAGAACGACCGAGTGCGGAACGCACGATAATGTGGTATCTCCGACGCTAAAATCTTAACGCCGGTAAGTATCCCACTTCACGAACTTTGCCTGACTAGTACTTGAATGCGCAAACATGGTTCATGTTCACGATGAAGTATTGGGACTAAAAAGCTCAGAGCAGGCTACATTGCGGTAAGCGTACAAGGCAGTCACGCTGTCCCGTGCTGATCATCTCCTTAGGCCTGCACCAACCGGACTCGAGGATAGAGGGGTCTTGCAAGATGCTGTAAGAGGTGCTTCCTTCTTTCCTACATACTTTCACTCGCACGCAAAGTTCTCTCCTCGAATACCCTCCAACTCTTTTGAGAAGCTTGCGCATAAACCGTCTGGATGAACTGTTAGATTGATCCTACATTATCTTTCATCTTTCCATTCTTAAGTGTTGTAGCCTTCATACGGACTTGGAGTACTTCTTCAAGTTTGCTAGGGTCCTTGTGCATGACTAATATCGATATTTCTATACAGACTTGATAACGTCCTACCATGACCTCAATCCATCAACGATCGACACGCTCACCTCCGAACCATCACCGTTACAATTCATGCGCCATGTCGCGCGTAACCGGCCATTTGTTGTCCGGAACGGAGCTAGAGACTTCAAAGCCAGAAAGACATGGAGTTCAGCATACCTGAAAGATGTCATGCGTGGTCAAAATGTCAACGTAGCAATCACACCTCACGGGAACGCCGACTCAGTCGTCTCGCTACCGTTAGGTGGCTCAGTGTTCGTCAAGCCATATGAGACCGAGGAACCCTTCCAAGAAGTTCTAGAGAAGATTCAACGGCAAGAGCGGGAGGAAGACTATAAAGGCCCAACACACTATGCGCAAACCCAGAACGACAATCTTCGCAATGAGTACTCCACGCTTTTCGCTGATGTGCCCAAAAGCATACCTTTCGCGCGAATAGCACTAGAGCAGGAACCCGACGCAATCAACTTCTGGCTCGGAAATTCCTACTCGACGACTGCCCTACACAAGGATAACTACGAGAATATCTACGTTCAGATCCTGGGTCAAAAGCATTTTGTTCTCTTACCACCTGTGGAAGCGGCTTGTGTCAATGAGAAGAGTGTCCTGGCTTCTACGTATACTTTGAAGCGCAACGGAAATTCACCTTCTGACACGTTCGAAAAAGATGATATGGTGATCAAGGTAGATGAGCCGGAGGAATACGTACCGTTCGCAACATGGGATCCTGACCAGCGTCACATCAACACTACGCTCTACTCTCAATACTCACAGCCACTCAGAGTAACACTAGAAGAAGGCGATATGCTATACTTGCCAGCACTATGGTACCACAAGGTAAGCCAGAGTTGCAACGAAGAAGGAATCTGCTGCGCGGTAAACTATTGGTATGACCTTGAATTCAGCGGCGGATTCTGGAGTACTGCAAATTTTGTAAGGAGCACCGGATTACTGAGCATGCAAGGAAATGCGGATGATGGAATTAGAGGCGGAGGCGACTGATGCTTCTTGCAACAAAGGGAAACTTTACTACGATTATGGGTATCTCTAGGATCTACAGTAACAGACAAATCCAACGCCGAAGCAATGCTCCCTTGACTCCGTTCCTACTAATTCCGGATCTTGACTTTGATATTGACGCCCCTGGCGCTTTGCCACACACTATCACTGACCTTGACCGGCAACTTTCGTCCTTTGAGTCTTTGGTCAATCAACCATAGACCTACCACGAACTCGTACCTGCTCAGTCTGCCAACACCTCTGCTGTCTACGAGATCCCAGACTTCTTCTAAAACATGCGTAGGCAGTCGACTCCTCGTCCAGATCTCTTTGACCAGAAGATTCAACACATCAGCCGATGCGTCATCGTCAGGCGGCGCGTTAGCAGGTGATGGTATGTGATGACCCTTGTTCGCTGCCCACAGACCTTCGTAACGCTTCCGCTCCCGTTCGGTTATCTGATCGCGCCAACGCTTTCGCGTGCCCTCGTGATGTTTATTTGGGTGCTTCCGTCCCTTGATGCCCATAATGCGTGTCCCCTTTTTCTTGTATTTGTCGACCTTGTTGTCTTCCTCATCGGACGACGACGGTTCTTTGCGCATTGTGGTCCGCATCTTCCCGGCGCTCTTCGGAGGTGATTGTTTAGGCGGTGAGGGCGATCGATGGAACGGAGAGTGATGGTGGTGCTGTTTGCGCGGCGGGAAAAGAGGTTCGACTGACATAGGTCGAGGTGCGGGCGAAACGTTGCGAGAATGCGAGGCTAGAGCGGCGCCCATTATGGCGCTCGACAGAGATTCGCCAGTCATGTGTTGTGTAATCTGCTTGACAGACTCCCTCTGGTAGTTATTATGATATACCGAAGGTGAACCTGATCCACTGGTTGACGTTGGCCGACGAGGAGGCGAGAGTCTCTGCAGCGGAGGCATCGAAGCCGGATTCTGACTTTGGGTCCGAGGTTTGATTTGTATTGGGGCCGAAGGCTGAAGTTTGCTGGTAGCCGGTACAGGATCTGCTTTTCGCGCAGTCGATCGCCGCGGCGGAGGCAGAGCAGGTTTGAGCTTCTCATCTTCCTGCTCTTCTTTTGCTGACTTGAAGGAAGAAGGTGTTGACGGCGACTGTTGACTCTCTATAGACGCGGACACTCTGCGCCGTTGTAAGGACTTGGACTGCGTTGTGTCCTCAGACTTTGGCCGTGTTTGCCGAGAACCCCTCTGCAGGGGCTTCGAAAGTGGAGAAACCGATGTGTTGATTGTCGCCAGCTGGACCGGTTTTTGCCTGATCGGAGGAGATTTCAGGGGATCATTCTTGGGTGTATTGAAGTATGCTTGCTCGCTACTGCCGTCGACATGTTGTGGCGGCAGCGTGATCTTGTGCTTCGGCTTTGGCTTCACAGGTGGTGGTGTCTGCGTCCTGACTCTCTGCAGGGGTGCGTCATCTTTCGGCTCGGGAGGTAACTTGAATGCACGCTGCGGCTTCGGCGACCGCACAGGGGGTGGAGAGTTCTGGGTGACACGTATCGGTGCAGAGGGTTTGGTAGGCGTCCTAGGTCGCGCTTGCTCAAACATTCTGACGAGCGAGTTCGTTGGCGGTATAGGGGTGTCATCGGTAGGCTTGTGTGGTGACTCTGGCTGTCGGGCACTGGTGGCAGCTGAATACGGTTCGAGGCTGCCTCTCCTCTTGCGCGGCTGCTGGCTGGGTTTCTTAGATTCGAGTCTCGCAAGCACATTCCCTACGCTGCCCGAGGGAGGCAGTACATCCCTCTCGTTTGGTTGGTGTTCGCTCATGGTGGGCGGAACAGCGGCCTGGGGTAGAGGCCGCAGAGGGCTGTGCCGAGCTGCCGCAAGCCGAGCAGCGATATTTGAAGGCGAGGAGACGCGGTCGGGGTGGTCGTCAGGCACACTCAGCGAGTTGGAGCTGTTCGACTTGGACAGGTTCGGCTTGCTGACGCCCACAGATCCGCCAGTGTGGTGGCTCCGCAAGGATGCCGGACTGCCAGTTCCGACCTTGGTTGCAGCCAGCAAAGCCCCATTGTCTCCTCCTGTATATGTGTTTACCAAAGGCTTTGGCTTCGCGGGAGATTTGGAGAAGGCTTTCGCTGCGCCTCGCAGTGCAGCCTCTCGTACATTGTGTTGGGTGTCGCCGGCCGTCTGCGGGACCCAGCCCTGGTTGCGTGCAGAGCTCATTTAGCGGTCCATTGGACGGTGAGCAATAATGACGTATACGGAGAATTAGGGGAGAATAGTGCGCATACAGAGGGTATTTGTGCGCAACATGAAAGCAAAGTAACGAAAGACTGAATAGAAAACGAGTGGTGTGGAGTCGTAATGTCAGGTTTCCAAGATTAGTATCGTCAGCCCTGTGAATGACACGGCGTGTGTACCCACAAGGCATGGGTGATGGCTTGGGGATTACGCTAGCTTCTTATAGTCTGACAGCCACGTGATCACGCGTGACGCGCTTCTCCAGGCAGCCACGACCTCCTTCTCATATACGACAATTGTCGCAAGAGCTGCACCACTCATCCAATGCACTCAAAATGGCCCAAGATACACCAATGGCCGATGCCGAGGCGGTCAGGGAGAACACGCTCATGTACGGCCATGATAATGAGCTCGACGACAAGTACCCAACACGGCCGATGAACCTCCACAAAACACTTCCCTTCCATACTCTATTCACGGAACTATTCAATCCGCTTATGGAAACACAAAAAAGGAAGCAGCCTGTGGGAGCTCGGCGAAGAGTCGGACCACATGGACACTCTAACATGTCACCTCATGAAGCGAAACGTAACATCATCGAAAGATTCATTGCGAGTTGGCGCAAGCAAGTGGGCAATGACTTCTTTCCCGCAATGCGTCTCATAATCCCGGAAAAGGACAGAGATCGAGCCATGTACGGTCTTAAAGAGAAGACAATTGCCAAGGTCTTGATCAAACTTACGAGGATCGACCCCAACTCTGACGGTGCCAAACATATGCTGAACTGGAAGCTACCTGGTCAGCTGAACAAGGCTTCGGCATCAACCGCCGGCGACTTCGCTGGACGATGCTACGAGATCTTGTCAACCCGGCAACTCAAGACCGAATACAGCGACATGAGTATCGCAGAGGTCAACAACGCTCTGGATAAGCTATCACACATTGGTGCCGAAGAAGAGCAAGTCAAGATCTTCCAACGGTTCTATCGAAGGATGAACGCTGAGGAAATGACCTGGCTCATTCGCATGGTCCTTCGCCAGATGAAGATTGGGGCTACTGAGAAGACCATTCTAGACATATGGCATCCAGATGCAGAGACGTTATTCAACATCTCTTCAAACCTTCGAAGAGTGTGCTGGGAACTGTTTGACCCTGAGGTCCGTCTGGCAGGCGAAGACACTGGGCTGAGCTTGATGCAATGCTTCCAGCCACAACTGGCTCAGTTTCAGGATAAGGTAGGTAACTTTGAGAAGCTGGTCACAAGATTTCAAGGGAACACCGATGACGATACCTTTTGGATTGAAGAGAAGCTTGATGGAGAACGTATGCAGCTTCACATGGTTGAGGATCCTGACGCGCCAGGCGGCAGAACTTTTGGGTTCTGGTCGCGAAAGGCCAAAGACTATGCGTACCTTTACGGTAAACACTTCCAAGGCGATGAAGCTGGTGCACTCACACGGTTCATAACAGACGCCTTTGGCAAGAATGTGCGGAACATCATCCTTGATGGCGAGATGATCACCTGGGATATGGACCGCGATCACATTGTTGGGTTTGGAACTCTCAAGACCGCAGCTATATCTGAGAAAGAAAACAAAACGGACAAGAACACTGGTCAGCGACCGGTCTTCAGGGTTTTTGACTGCGTATTCCTGAACGACAAGTTACTCACACAATACACGCTACGCGATCGCCGTCGCGCTCTGGAAAGTGCTGTCAAGGGCGTACATCGTCGTCTGGAGATCCATCCGTACACCGAGGCGCGCTCGCATACAGAGATTGAACCAGCACTACGGAAGGTTGTTGCTGATTCTTCGGAAGGTCTGGTGCTGAAGAACCCACGTTCTATGTATCGGCTGAATCAACGCAACAACGATTGGATGAAAGTCAAGCCAGAATACATGTCCGAATTCGGCGAGTCGCTCGACTGTATAGTTGTCGGCGGGTACTTTGGCTCTGGACATCGCGGTGGCGCCCACTCATCCTTTCTTTGCGCACTGCTTACGAACAAAGATGCAAAGAAAGGCGACCTGAAGTACGAACATTGTTGGTCGTTCTTCAAAGTTGGAGGCGGATTTGCTCAACAAGACTATGCTGATATACGGGGCCGAACGGAAGGCAAGTGGCATAATTGGGATCCTCGACGGCCACCTCCATTTATTGAGCTAGGCGGTCATGAGCAGAATCGTCAACACGAGCGACCAGATCAATGGATCAGACCCAGGGATTCTGTCGTTCTGGAATGCAAGGCAGCAAGTGTGGAAGGCACCGACAAGTTTCGCTTCTCTTTAACGCTTCGCTTTCCTCGCTTCAAGGGGCTCAAAAAGGACAAACGCTGGGATCAGGCACTGTCGGTACAGGAATTTCTGGAAGTAAAGAGCAGAGCTGAAACTGAGAAGTCGGAAAAGGAGAAAGAATTCAAGATTGAGCAATCACGCAGGAAGAAGGCGAGAATATCGAAGAAGCCACTCACTGTGGTAGGTAACGATACCGTTGCTACACCATATGCGGGTCCAGCATCGAAGGTATTTGAGGGCCTGAGCTTTTTCATAATGACTGAGCAAATCCACCCAACGAAGAAGTCGAAACCCGATCTAGAAGCACTGGTCAAAGCCAACGGTGGCAAGATTGTGCAGCGCGATTCGATGGACAAAGACCTCATCATCGTAGCGGACAAGAGACTGATTAAAGTTGCATCACTCGAGAAACGCGCCACGAACAACATCATCAAGCCTATCTGGATCCAGGATTGCATCAAACAGAATGAGATAGACTGTGCCCCTTTACCATACCTGCTCCCATTCGAGCCAAACCGACATATGTTCTACCTCCATGATGACGATCAGCTCGACTTCGAGAACAATGTTGATGAGTATGGAGATTCGTTTGCGCGCGACATAGCAGATGTAGATGTTATGCGAAAGCTGTTGGCTGGTGTAGGAGCAGGGTCAGACAACAACTCAGCATTCGAACGACAAGGCTTCCTAGACCAACTAGAAGACCACGGAGAGTCACTTGCGCATCTCAGGACACACATGTTTGGCACAGTAAAAGCTGCGTTTGACAGCAATCCTATTGATGCTAGCGGGATGCTCAAAGCCCAACTATCGAAGAACTGTATTCGATTCGGCGGCGGTTCAGTGACTGATCGGATAGTTGAGGAAGGAGTCACACATGTTGTTGTACCGAATGAACACTTTTCGGCCCAGAGTGTAAAGGCTAAGGTCACTGGACTTGCCAGGATTGTGGGTGTCGCGTGGGTAGAGAAGTGCTGGGAGGAAGGCACTATGTTGGACGAGGAGAGGTTTCAGTGGGGGTGAAACAGTTCCTCTAGTCTTTTCTATGTAGAATAGGCACGACACCGAATTAATGATATCGCAAGAGACAGCATGATGAATCTATTGCTTATATAGTCCTCTGACTCAAAAAGTGCTGCCTTTCGTGAGATTCCGCTTCCAACCACTTTTAGTTGTCTTCACTCCAGTGCTCATGTTCGTACGTGTCACTCTGAGCTCAGCCTTCTCCACAACCAACGCTCCGTTACTCTGCGTCAAACGTTTTCGCAGGTCATCCTCCTCCAGATATTCGGCTTCACTGCCTAGCTCTTCTCGTATCGCTGCCGAATATTCGATGATACTGCGCAAAAGCCCGGGTCTCCTGCCACTCCTATACATTCTTGACCCTCGCCGTGTATCAAGCCACATGCCGACCATGATGCAGACCCAGATGAAGTTGAAGATGGAGACCATGAATAGAAAGATGTAAGAGAACCCCCACTGATACGTCTCGCTAGGTTTGCAAGATCCATGCTCCAGCAAATAAGCCGCGTCGTAGGTGTGGTTCGAGTCTGGGCGCTTCTCAAAAGCATATTGGTATCCAGGGTGTTCATGTAGTGGAACGGAGTTCAACTTTGCGTATTCGACAGGAAATCTGGTAATTTGGAGGCTTCGGAACAGGGGTAACTTGACGCCTTCCAGCACAAATTCGGCTGTTATATTTGTATTGTTGGTACCGTTGAAGCCAAAACCTACCCGAGGCACGCCATTCACTTCATATTCCCAGGTCCAGTTTCCGAACTGCTTACGGTCTGTACTTGGTCAGCTGAGACCCAGAGTATTGCGATCAGACATACAATTATCAATAGCATCGACGAGCGGCTTATCGTCTGTTGTAGCAACGAGCGGCGCATCGAAACCGTCCAATCGATCAGCGTCGTGGATAATGTACTCCACCTGTTTCACCTGGCTCCATCCGAGGAGGTTCCCATCAAAATCCTCTATGTATGGCTCATAAGTCGCGATGTAACCTGTCATGGCTGCCATCAAAGTCGGGAACGAGATCACATAGAGCGTGGATAGCAACATTGAAAGTATTGCCAGCCATCGGAATAAGCGCTTCCAGGTGCCCGCCCCAAAAGCTAAGAATTCTTTCCCCAGTACACCGAGCGTGCCCATTGTTGTTGTTTCGAAGGCTACGGCGGCATACAGTTTGTACGATGTGTGATGCATCTCCATGTGGTACACCAGCCACTCGTTGAAGACGCGATAGTTCGCCCATGCCAGCAAAAGTTGTCCACCTCTTCCAATAATCAGATCCCAGGCAACATCAATGACTTTTACCTGTGTAAAGGTCATAGCTCCAAAACTCAAGTTAGGCGTGAAGAAGTAAGAAGAATCCATAATGCGCCATGTTGCACCGGAAGCTTCCTTCCAAAGACCGTTCGGATAGCAGTCTCGCCCCATAATGTAACTTTGAGATACCGTTTCTGCGGCGGCTGCGAGGCTGACAATGCCGGCAAGAGCAAGAGGGAGCGCCAGCAGAACGGAAGCTACTCGCCAAGGAAATAGTGACCATTTATCTTGTAAAGCAGCCTCGCGGTCGTTCTGTGACCATTGGCGAGGCGTACCGGACTTGGTATCGCTATGGTGGTCGGCCATGGCGAGCAACTCGACGCTTCTTTGTGCATCGTCATCAGAGTCCTGACGAACAGCGGAGAATTGCGCCAGAGTCTTCATAGCTGAAGCACAATGAGATGCGGCATATGTCGAGGAAACGAAGCGCGCATCTAGCAAAGCCAGCATACTTGAGGTGATCTGAGCCGCTTTCAGGCGTCCGACAGCTCTAACGACTTTGGCTGGGGATTTTCATGAAACCAAGCGAGGCGCAGTGCCCGCATCTGGGGGCCAAATACCTGCCAACGAAAGTTGGCTTTTCATTATGCAAGCGCAGAGTGCCTGGCGATGTTCTCAATTATTGGCAAAACCCGAAGCATGCAGGACGTCATACGAGTTCGCTGATGCATTCAGCGACATGGGCACCCAAGCTAAGTGAAAGTGCGCGCTCCATGAGGCTGGTCTTGGGAGCATCCATTCTATACGAAACGATGTATGTATATGTGCAATAGTGGAGTTTTGTACAAGAATCAGTAATGGTTGTTCTACTTAGAGTCCAGGAGTGCCTTAACCGAATCATGGCCTCTCAATGATCCTTGGAAGTACACTTGGGCGCCAAGACACTAACAGTATGATGTACGCTGAGGTGGAGGTCATCGAGCCACAACAAACTTCATCGTTCTTAGAGTCAACTTGAAATACATCCATGCTTGTCGCAGGCTGTTCTTATCGCGAAGCTATGTCGAACTATCTATTGCGCTCCTTCCGGCACACAGCTTGATGCAGTCTAGCGCCGCGCACCCCGCTCCCAATCAGGGCAGGTACCTAGACAGGAAGCACAACGGCTGATAGCAATTCATATCGCCTCCAGCAGAATGATTCGTTCGCACGTTAATGACCATGTGACATAGTCCTTGAATAGTATGATGCTCCGGATGCAGACCTGCGATGATCTGTCCTCGCGACAGCGACCTGATGGCTCCAACTTCCTTAGATTTATCGCATGATCTAAGCTAGTTAGGCGGGGAGAAATGATAGCAAACATGTGGACTGCACGTACAGCCCTTCTGACGGGTCTTGTCATCTCACTTCTTGGAGCCTTCTACGTCTATCAGTCCCCTACGCCGCTCGATTTTAGCATGCCTCATTCAATGTCCAATCGCACCAGCATGCCCGATTTAAAGCTCACAATAAACCAAACCTCACGCTCCCCACCAGCCCTGCTCATTACACTCAAAAATATGAGCCCAGAAGTCCCCTACACAATCTTGAAATGGAACACACCACTGGACTCTTCCGCACTCAACACTGGTATTTTCACCGTCATCGATGCCGATAGTGGAGAAGAGGTCAATCAAACCGTCTTGCAAATCAATCGCAAAATGCCTCCTCCGCAAGAGTCACTCGTCACGCTTGCACCAGGCACGGAAGAAGAGGTTGAGGTAGTCTTTGATAAGCCGTGGATGCCTAAGCGCAAGCCAGCCAAGTACAAGGTTCAGGCCAAGGGTGTGTGGAATGGTGTTTGGGGAAAGTACGGAGATGAAGTGACCAAGGAAGATTTGTATGCTTATCTCGAGAGTCCTTTTAGTGGATGGCGGTTTGCAACGAATGAGGTTCTTATGGAATTGCATTAAAGAGGGAATCAAGAAGATGAAAGTAAGGTGTTCTAGCGGCATGCTACTATTTCGACTGGCCAGCAGCATTCAGAATCTCCCTCTTTTCTCCATCAAATTCCTCATTTCTGCTCCGAGATCGCCCACTAGCCCTGCTAAGCTCAACCGATTCATCAGAGAATTTTGCATTGCTTCAGGACCTGCCACAGATACTACCCAGCATTAGCCCTTTATCACCTTCAGTTGATCCAAGTTACATACTCTACTCGGTTTTCCGATACGCTCTCTGATGGAAATTTGTGAACCTTTCGACGATGTCGAGCCGTGAGTAGATGTGCGCTCCATATTGCGTAGCGAGTGGTTGCGTGTATGCGTGTTTCTGTTTGATGTACAATTCGAAAGGAGCGACCTAGTTACAGCAAAGAAAGACAGTGATATGAGAAGGAATGGCTTAGTGAGTACACACTCCGCAGCACCAACCCAGAATATATACGCACCAAATCGCCATCATGACTGCACCAACTTTGGTTGATCGACAGTCGCCAGGCACCCGCTGATCGTGCCCCATCCGACCCAGCATTCTACAAAAACTTTATTCCAGTATCGGTTTACCAGCCCATCCAATGCGAACCATCTTACTTCTTTCGCGCTTAACGGCGTGCTCCGCTAAAATCCACTCATAGGAATATAAGAAAAAGAAAAGAGGAAGCTGAAACGCGGAGATGAACAACAAACCCCACTTACGCTTCGGGTTCGGTGCGAACATAACAACACAGTCTAGCGGAGTAAGGAATTCAAGCTGAAGCATGCTCCGAAATCCAAGAATGGAAAATTGACGGGCAAGTACTGGATATGTGACGGAGATATTTCAGGACCTTGATGATGCTATGTAGCCGTTGGACGACTCATTCAGAGCCACCGGCATAATCTGTACCCTCCCATTACAGCCTCTCATCCTACCACGCTTCACGAGGACCCATTCTGCTCTTTCTCGCCGAGCCCATACGCTTTCAGCACCCTTTTCGCGACGCCCTCCCCGCTCCAGTACGCCCCCGTGACAGTCCCTAACGCAACAAACGGCGCACAATGCTCTCCAGCCAACCAAACACCTCGTTCAGGCATGCCCTTTCGTAATGTCTCCACATCCTCATCACCCTTTTCGAGCCCAATTTGGAAATTGCAGTATGAACCGTAGCCAGCGAGTTCGTCGTTTGCCCATGCTGTTGCCAGGACGGCTTGTGGTGCGCAGTCGCTGTGGTTCGGCTTGTAGTTGGGAAGTTTGGAGTAGTAGGGCAGAAAGAAAGATGTTAGAAGGCTTCCATGCTTTTCTGGTGGGTTATTTGCTAGGACTTCGGCGATATGTAAGCTTGTTGGTCCAAAGGTGTAGAAGAGGAGGGTTGGATGCGCCGTTCCTCTGGGAAGGGCGGCGAGATTCACAGCTTCTTGATCCCAGGCTTTTGGGTTCGTTTCAGATGCATATGTTGGATGTGTCCAGTGTGTGAAGCCTGGATAATGTGTTGGATTGACTGGTGAGTCAGTTGCTTGATGCACGGGCGCTGTTGTTGCTGTGACATTTGGTCTGCTTAGGTCGCGAGATGCAGAGGGTAATGCTGCATCGCTGGCTGTTCCTTCGTTCCAGAAGGCGCTTGGGAAGGTGATGTATACTTTGTCAAGATGCCCGTATCCGAGACTTCCGACAGCTTCTGTCAATCGACTTGGCAATGCTGGAACGAAAGCATCGAGATTGCGCTTTAGCCATCCTAGTGGAGCCGTCATGATCACTTCGTCGAACATCATACTTTGCCGGCCTTCAAGCTCGATGGTAACACCAGCATCTGCAGTGTCCTCTCCCGATACGATCCGCTTTACTTTATGTTCAAACAGCATCGTCGCATGTTCCAGCGCAGGCTCAGCAATCTTCTTCAGCACCTTGTCGTACGTAGATGCGACAAAAAGATTCTCGCCATCGATACACTCCTCCAGCCAGAAAAACTTCAGACTTTGCCTTTGGATGGGCGAGCCAACGAAAGCACCCCACATTTCTGCCATTTGAAGGATGATCCGCTGTTGCCTCTTCGATTCAGCATCCTGATTAGGGAACATTTCTACAACCCGCTCTTCAAAGTAGTTATACAAACTTTTGTCCGAGGATATCGTGGCTGAATTCTCATTCGAAAGCTTCATTGCTTGCTCGATGATAGTCCAAACATGCTCAGTGTTCTTCGCTGCGTCTTTGTCAGACATGTGGTTTCCCTGGCTGTCAAAAACTGATTGGCGACCATCCCAGTTCATGCTGATAGTCTTGGTCTCTTTCGCAAGGTCTAGGATAGGGTTGTCATCAGTGCCGTGTATCCAGTTCGGGCCGCTAGCGAAACCATTAGCTTGGGTATAGCAGACCATATTGGGGCTTCAGACTCACAGGTCAACTAAATGACCTAGCGCATCGCTTTGACATAACTGTTAATTCATTAGCACATACGAATTTACATGGATGGGTAGACAGACTCTTCCACCAACCCTATTTCTCCCCTCCAGGACCGTAACCTTGACCCCGTGCTTCAACAGCAGATCCGCACATCTCAGCCCAGCAACACCTGCACCGACAATACAGACATGCGGTATCTTGCCTGCCGCTCTTCGGATCATATTGGTTTCGTCCATGTAGCCTTGCTTGTGTGGCGAACCAAACAGATCCTTCGATATTCGAGTCTCTCTTTCAGACGACGTTCTGTTATTCGGACTGTCAGCTCTACGAACTGCATTCTCATTGCCGATATTTCCCATGTTGACGGATCGCTATTCAGCAATAGCGAGAAAGTCGAGATGAAAGAAAAAGGCTATATCAATGTTGTGGCGCTGATGCTTAGCCAAGCATGCGTTGACAAGTATGGTCGAGAGATGCGTCCCAGTAAAAGGTGGTTCAGAGAAGGAGAGTGCTGGCGGCGTGGTTGCCACGCTAGTGGCAATCCGTATCTCGTGCTACTGAGTGAATCATAATGACTACTCCGAAAGATTGGGTTGAAACGAGTCTACGATGCTGACAAAAGGATTCTTGTTGGTGCGAATGCTATTGTGACAAGGAATTAAAGGCGGCACAGCACCTCGAGTAGGGACAACCGCTCACATACCATAGAATATTTGTGTGGGCTGGAAAGAGGTAACGACCTCGTTTCGATTTGGCCTTGTGATGGACACAAGAGCCAATCTAATTTGTCCAAGAAATGCCAACGCGATGTATTAGGTTGCAAGTGAGACGTGTGATAAGGTAGACGTTGTACGCTGTCATGCGTCTGCATGTACGTCAGATAGCGAGCAGTAAGCCCGACGCTAGCTTTAGTGCCACGAGGCTGTATCACGAACATGATTGGACAAAGTGACACAGACGAACTTGAGCTCAACCCATTAGATTCCTAACTGAATAGTACATTACGAGCATTGTTCTGGTATTAAGTGGCATTTTACTGCCGTGGTATCATATCTCGCCCATCATCCTTCAAGATCGTCAGTCCCTGCGTGTCACACCTATTTGTCCTTGGAACCGATGTGAAGCTTGTTTTTCATCTTCTCCTTCAAGTGCGACATCTTGCCACCCTTCTCTTCGTTGCTCGGAGACGAGGTCAAGTCGGTGGACTCAGACTTACGGCCCGATTCAGACTTGCGACCTACATGCTCTCCAGCCGAACCTGCAACACCGTCAGTACTGCCCTGACTATGTCCAGGTTGCCGTGTCCACAAACCCTTGGACTCTGATCCACCAGAGGCAGCGTTTTGCTTAGCGGTAGCTGCATCAAAGTTGCTGCTGTCGGAAGGAACGCCTGTTGATGCCCAGCCTGGAGTGTCGCGGTTCTCAGAGAGCTTCTCGGCATCGGTTTTTGTCTCTGTACCGGCGCCAGCTGCGTACACACTTGAACCAGCTGTGACGGAGTCGGGAGCAGTGGTCTTGATGGCAGGGTCAGGGCTGGTGGAAGTGGCGGTTGTAGATTCAGTGGCTGTAGGGCCGGCGCCTGGTGCACCCGAACGACTGATGTCGTCAAGTGGTGTTTCCTTCCAAATCTTGTCGGTAACTCCAGCCTTGTCTGTGATGCCGGTGCTCTGGGCCGTCGAAGAGGCGTCAGTGTTGGATGTAGCAGCGTCGGGGTTGAGAGGAACGATTGGCATGCCAACGTAGGATGCATCTTTGCTATCCGAGTAGATCTTGGGGTCGGTCGATGTCTCGGTCGGTCCCTGGGTGGTGGGATCTAGCTTCAGGAACTCATCTGAGGTGGAAGTCTTCTCAGCTGCCTTCTCAGTTGCCTTGGCTTTGGAGTAGTTAGCATACTACCCTATCGAAAGCCCATATGTCGAATGCGGGTGGTTAAATACTCACAATCGTTGCCCTGGTCAAAAGGCTCCGTGACGGTACCCTTGCCAAGCTCACCAGAGACGGGCTCCTTGCCGGCAGTCTCGTTGTTCTGGTAGTCAAGGAAGGTTCCCTTGTCAGCTGCGGCTAGAGGGGTTGCTGTGAAGCGGGGTCAGCATAGATCGTCTAATGCGAGACTTGGTGGGGGCGCACCAAGGTTGCCTTGGTCATAGGGCTGAGTGACAGTGCCCTGACCCTGCTCGCCTGAGATAGGCTCCTTGCCTGCGGTTTCGTTGTCCTTGGTCTGTTCGACCGCTTCCTCGGTCTTGGGCTGGTCGCCGTAGATGAGCTTCGAGGCTGTAGTGGCAGCAGTGCTGGCAAGGTTGGTGATGGTCTCCATGTTGACTGTGGTTTATCAAGATCAATGGCAAAAGTAGGGATTATGAAGTGGGCGAGGGAACTAGGTATCGTGAGTATACGTCGAGTCAAAGAGCCCGTGTTGGCGCGTTATGAAGGCACGCGGGCAGTGACGTAGGTTCCTGCGTTTGTCCCTGTTCTACCCAAGATTCAGCCACAGCCCGTGTTACGGGACACCTACACCAACGGGACAACCTACAGCGAGCCCCAGAGTGGGGCCTAATCATAGCATATACCTTGATTTAACCTCAATTGAGCTCGATAACGCCATCGACATACCAATCGATCTAGGGAACGTAGTGGGTGGAGCTGCGTCCAGGTGCCCTTAATGGCCAGTCACGCGCGAGGACCTCAAGTCAAACCAAAGGCGCGCCACATCACATCCTGATCTTCGTGATTGCGACCGGCCTGGCACGCGTGTTGGAATCTCGAATCTCGAATCTCGGCCGCGCTGTTGGAAAGGAGCGTGGCTGGGCTTGCGTCATGCTGCAAACATGTCAAACATTGGTCTTAGCGCGTTTCGTCATCGTCAACGACTCTTTCGGCATGCCTAGAGAGGTGAAGATGCTCGATTCGTTGATCCACGTACCAATCCTTTATACAAGGCCTTGTGCTCCCTCAACACAGAAGTCCGTATTGCGGTATTCAATGGTCTCTTTGGCCCAATGTTGATCCTTTTTCTCTATTCCGAGTTGCCGAAGGCGTTTGCAAGTTTGAAGGTGGTATGACCTCGGATGCCCCTGCACTTATAGATTCAAATCACCGTTTAAACAGCAGATGTGAGTACAAGGGGCAGAGCTTCTGTAAGGCTCTACCTAGAGTATAGTTTTACAATCTGTTTAGTCACGTGCAGAATGGCATTACCTACCTATGCAGGTAGACGTGGCGGTCGACCCGTTACAAAATTAAAGCATTTCACGCACGACGCGGACTTCTTTCTGTGTATCTACCAGTGTTAGAAGGAAGTTCTTTGGAGGCTTCGGCTCAAAATAGTCATTGTTTCTCTGTCTCTCAGTTGGCGAGACATCTGGACAAAGAAACATTGCTTTGGCATCGACCACTAAAGAACCCAGAGGTTCGATGATGACTTCGTAAGAGGCTTCTTAAAATGTAGTAATCCCACCGCCACGTTCGGCTACTTGGTTTGCAGTGGAGGGAGCGACCATATCCACTTCGCTCGAGTCATTACTGTAATTGTTTGACACGAGATAACAAGGGATCAGACCAAATGAAGTCGTTGGAACTTTCATCGCATGATTCTTTTAGTATTCTCTTGATTGAGTATGTTGACAGATTCGAACTCCCTGATCACCACCTACTGCAACCTTGCATCACACCCCCGAGCAGATTCCACCGCACATCGTAACCTGATAACCATGGAGTCGACAGCACACCAGCTCCCCATGTACCCTCATCACGTTACCACGCCTGGCATACCAGGAACGACTTACCAAGTCCCTTCCCACTATCGCTGTCAGTCAGAAATCCGGGGGATACCTAACCATGATCTGCAACTACATCAAAGCCCAGAGAGCTTTGCTAACCTCGACTATCAGGATATCATCGCTCGTTATAATGACACTGCCGAGATGCATACCTGTGCGGTCTTCAAATCGGCCACTTCCAACGACGACATAAACGATAGAAAGGATGAACTACAATATGATGCCAGGTTCGGCGGCAACTTCGATCGTCGAAACACTAGGATTAAACCACTTCGAAGCAGACAAGATCGAGATGGCACTTTCATGGTTGCGAGTGCGCGAACGCTATGCTCCTTATCTTCCGAGTCATCTCCTCCTGCGTCCCCATCTTCACATTCTCCTTCTTTGATTTACAAAGAAACCCTGAAAATCGAGCATGGAATAGGCCCACAATCCATTCCTACACATATGCTTGTAGAAAAACACCACAATCTCTACTGCCGGATTAAGACTTTTCTTGTACAATTCCTTCGACTCTATCCTGATACCACGATGATCAGGATCTGTAACCACAAGTTCCGGAACGGTCGGTGCAAGAAGTGTGACCTTCCCGAGGCTATATTGCCATATCTGAATGGGGGTATGCGAGCGGGCTTCTATTGCAAGCAAGATGGGTGTGATGGATGTAGCAATCGTGCTTCGACATTGACTTGCGATACTTGTGGTTCAAAGGAGGATCTATGCGTTCTTGTGAGTAGCGCTTCGAAGGAGTTACAATATAGCTGGTACTGACTGTCAACAGCCATTGCGCATAAGATCGAGTATGGTGGCATCTTCACTGCATACTGATAATCGAGATACAGATACTGGGAGTAGGCTGACAATCGCAGAAGAAGCGCCCCAGATCGGCTCCATAGACTCTATTCCCACCGCACAACGCGTACACATCCTGACCAGCATCAACAGTACGTCCGAAAGCAGCATCTCGTCCACTGACCCATCTTCCGACTCATTCTTTGAATCAAATCCTGTTGGGCCATTCTCCAGCCCAGTGGACTACTCGCTCAGCGTTCCCCCATATCTACCCACCCATGATCGCAACACATCAACGGCTTGTCCAAGGTTCACTGTGGCCGTCGAAAACGAGGACTCAACACCTAGTCCTGGAAGTGTAGAGAGCAATGAAGTATTCGAGTCCGATGTCTTAGCGATTGCTGTACCGATCTTACAAGTCTCTCCCACCACGATTCAAATACGACAATCCAGGACTGCCAGTCAACCTTCAGGAATAACAAGGAAGGTACAAAGCCTGAAGGACGTCGTACATGATGCTGTGCACGGAGATATGGAGTCTCAGGTTATGATACTGAGAATGTATCAAGACATATTGACCGCAGATGCAATGTCCGCTTTATACCATAAGAGCGAGCCAGACAGTCATCTCATCCGAAAAGCACGGTTAGTCCTCGGCCTCCAAGTTCAAGAAGCGGCTGGACATATTCCAGTTGGTTTGGTGGAGAAGGTGTCGGTGCAGTTGCTTTCGCAGCATAGAAACCACGCGATGCGTATGGAGGCTTTTGCTGCATACATTTGCCAGGCGGTCGTCGAAAAGGAATTGTCAGAGGCGCGCGGGACGCAGATTTTGGCGCTCGCTGAAGACGAAACGTAGTAATAGAGGACGTGCAAAGTCTATTGGGTGAGAGTATAGTTGTCTTTCTATTAAGCCCAGGGCACCTCGGATGTATCTGACGACTTGACCACAATCAGTTTATGTTGCTAACGTGGAACCTAGAAGTGTGCAAAAAATAGTTTTCAGAGTATATATGCACAATGAAAGTGCGAGGAACACATCTCGGATGAACTTGTGAATATGATGATTTAAGTATCCGTGAGACTTCTGCTACGACCATTTATCGTGCACTAATCTCAGCCAGTTTCGCTTCTACAATATCTTCAGCTCTCTTCAATAACCCCAGTTCGTTATAGGATGTATCTGGAAATGCTTTCGTGAGCTCGACACTCAATCAGTGGAATGTTCAGTCGTCGCATCGTCTCATTCTCTGCTCATACATTCTGAGTGACTTTGCGTGTGGAGCTGACACGTGGTCTAGGATCGCGTCGTTCTACTCGTCCTCCATGCCTTCGAGTAGCGTATGCTCGAGAACGTCGCTCAAGGTTACCATGCCTTTAAGCTTACTGTTCTCATCTATGACGACGAATCGATGCACGCGCGACCTCCGGATTGTGTCGTATATGGTTGACATGTTGTCGTTCAGTGAACAGGTGAAGATGCCAGGGAAGTCCTGCTGCTGTCAGAAATGCGCAGAGATGGAAGAAAGAAATGGATACTCACGTCTGAACGCTTCAGTAGCGCATCGCCGACCGTCAGGTTCAAGTCATCGTATACGCCGCCCTTGATAAGCGTGATGACGTCTACAGCCTCAAAGACATTCAGCACGGTGCCTGCTCTGTCCAAGATGGGCACGCTTGATATGCTCTTCTTAACAAGCATATGGATGACGTCCATAACCGGTGTGTCCATGGATGCAGTCGCGAGATCCTCGTATGTGCCAACGTTCAGCTCCTTCAGTGGCTTCCGTAGCTTCTGCGTCTCCTTGACGTTCACCGCGATGAACTTCAAGATGCGGTATTGGGTGATGACGCTGACGACCATTGTTCTATGTGTCTCGTCATCGCTGTCGACAATAGGTATGCGGCGCGCGCGTGACTCAAGCATCTTGCGACATGCTTCGTATACGGGTCGATCGGGGTGTATGGAGATTGTTTCTATGGGTTTGACACCCAGAGCTTTCTCAATATCTGTACGTGTGAGTTGGTGGTCGGTGTGGAAGCAAAGCGCCTACCTCTCAGGCTGTTTAGGCGGAACTGATCTACCCGCGCCAAAGCGTCTGGGTTCTGCCAGTAGTATTGTATAACGTTTATGTAGTCGGATGTCGTGAGCAGTCCGGCGAATGTGGAGGATTTGGAGTCCCATAGCGGCGCTGAGACGATTCCTATAGCCAGCCGTCAGCTCTTGCTTTGCACACACACAAGGTTTCAAGCTCACCATTCTGGTTCAATATATTCAGACTCTTCTTCACTAGCAGCGCCGTGTCGAATACGATGAGGCGATAGCTTATGGGTAGGACGTCATAGCTTGTTCTGGCCTTGAGGAAAGCTCTGATGGTTCTCTAGCTCTTGTCAGCTGGCGCTGCGACCATACGCGACACAGGATTCCGCACCAAGCCGTCCAGTTGCTCGCGGTCGACGGCTGAAAGCTGGCGCGGCTGCTCTCTTGGGGGCAAGGGCGCCCGGGACTGCTGGAGCAAGTCCCTCGGCGTCACAAAGGCGGGCCGCGCATCGTTGGAAAGGGCGTTGGTCGTAGAGTCTGCCGTGTCGACGCCCGACATGATTATCGCGTTGCTCCTCGGAGCCGCATGGAGCGTGTGACTCCAGTAATCCAAGCTCCGGGGACAGGAACAGCGGAGATCGGGGGCTAGTAGAGGCAGGATTTCTCGAATGTGGTGAAAGAGGATGCAGGTAGACGCCCGCCCCACGATCGTCATTAGCGCATCGTGAACCTGGGAAGTCAATGCGCAAACATGCGGGGCAGACAGTGATGGAGGTAAACAGGCGGCAAACGAACACGTTGGACAAGCTTTGCATACGTTTTACTTTACTTTCGCTCGAACTTGAATTGAAGCGCTCAGCTGTGAGATACGGCTAACCTTAGGGAATGCACCCGAAAGAGACCTGGTTCCGGAACCAGATCCTCAGGCACGCTAGAAATCATACACTGCCGCCATCTGCCCATAAACATTGCACACCACCCTTGTCCCTCCCAAAATGCCCGCCCGAGCTGCAGCCTCCATATACTAGACAGTCCTCGTCCAAAACTACACGTCGTTTTTCCTAGCTGCCTTCGCAGCGTCAATGTTCAGCTCAGGACCTGGCTCTGCCTCCGCCTCCTCCATAATGATTTCCTGTGCCGCAGCCTCGACCGGTACTTCTGGTTCGCCGATTGCTTTCTTCGCTTGTGCCACGATGGCGTCTGCCTCGGTAATTCCGCCCTTCATGGTAGATTGGTCACCATCTACACCCATGGCGGCGTCATTCTTGCGCTGTCGAAGTGCCTTGTTGTCGAAGCGTACGACCATGCAGGAAAGATTGTCGGTAGAAAAGCGAGCGAGGGCATAGTCGACGAGCTTCTTGGATGCTTCTTGGGGATCGTGGACTTGGCGGACTAGGTCAACAGCTTCCTGGTCGGAGCAGACATCCCAGAGCTGTGTTCGTTAGTAGATGTTACATACTCGTTGATGGACTACTTACTCCATCGCAAGCAAGAATGAGAAATTCGTCCTGCTCTGCCTGGATAACAGTCTCGGTGGTGTACGGGTGTCCAGTGACCAGGTCCTTCATATAGGCATCCCCCAATGCTCGTGTAACAGCAAGAACACCATTAACGCGGTTGTTGAGAATCAAACCACCAGCGCTGGCAACCCGACGGCCTTCATTCTCGTCGCTGCCCTTGTGGTCGTAAGAGAGGCGAAGTGCTCGGCCATTACGGCAGAGAACAATACGCGCATCGCCCACGTTGGCCGTATACAGCACGCGCTGTCGACTGGCCTCGTTCCGTAACCTCGCCTCCACTTGTTGTTCAGCTGCAGGCTCCACAGCGGAATCAGCACCATCCTTTGCCTCGCCTTCGCCGGCGTGCTTGATAGCCGATACTGCCGCGGGTGCGAAGAGGACTGAGCCGGTGGACGACTGCGCGTTAGGCACTCGGTCCTCCCACCTCAAGACAGCGATGACCGCGGTACAACCACTGTTCTTCAGGGGAAGCTTTTCCAGCTGCTGGTCGACTACGGTAAAGGTCTGGTCGAGTAGTTCGGGTATCGGGGTATTTGGGTTCTTTCGAATTGTCTCTTCCAGAATCAAATGGAGCTTCTTCCCACACCAATCGGCAGCGAACGTTCCGGCGTGTCCGTCGAAGATGGCGAAGTATCCGTTGTCGGTCTCGACTACGGCTTGCGACAGAGCATCCGACTGAGTCGAACTGGCATCGGATATGGCGCGTGTCTTCTCGGCGCCATAAGAGGGAGCCGGAGTGCTCAGGAAGTTGTATAGGTATGCGTGGGTATCCTCCATCGTTCGTCTGCACTTCTTGTTCTTATCCTCTGTGACACCGACGCGGAAGGTGGATCGTGGGCCAGGCGCCGACTCGCCGGCAGAGTTGTTGAGTGAGCCCTGGGGGACACTGAGAGCAGCATCGGATTTGCCGAGCTTCTGCATGGGGGTTTGAGGGGAGGCCTTTTCTGACATGGTGGAGGTACTGGAGGTGGGAGAGCCTGACGAGCCGCCGAGATGCAACGACTGTTTCGCGCTCGAGAACATGTCCCGGGCACGCGACACGCCACTGCTCCGTCGTTTTCTCTCAGCAGGCGCAGAAGCGTCACTGGGCTTGCGATCTATCGAAGCGGAGCCGTTGCTGGTCGTGTTTATTGCGCCTGCAGCTCCGTTGTCTGTCACCGGGGCTGCGGTGGGCTGTGGCGCGTCATTGCTTGCAGGAGTGCCAATGGTAGAACTCTCGTCGTCCTTTGCATTCCCAAACATCTTCGAGAGCAAGCCTCCCTGGGCGCTCCGACGCCTGTTACCTGCCAGCTTGATTGATGGCGCTGGTGTTTGCTGGCTGGGTGGTGGCGACGGTGATGCAGTTGGGGGCGGCGGCGGATTCGGCGAAAGTGAATAAGCGGGGCTCAAGTGACAAGAATATGTTAGGAAGGATGTAAACAGACGCAAGGGGAAGAGTCGTGGGAGATGGAGTTCTTAGGTGTGATGACGTCGGAGGTGTATAGCGGGGCGAGCAACCGGAAATATCAATTGGCGCAAGAAGAGGGCTTGACGCTGGGAGAGGATGGCAAGGCGCGGGCACGTTCCAGGGTTGAGATTGGACGATCGCCGGTATAGCGTGGATGGAGTAGGCAGTGAGCTGCTGGGTGCTGGGTACAAGTGCGTAGTGGGAAGTTGTCTATGCCGTCTGCTCTTCTCGCGGAAGTGCGGGGGATCTCACGCAGTCAGTCGGGAAGGGCAGCACCACCTACGTATACCACGCTGGGTACTGTGAATGGGGAGCCAAGGGAGCAGAACAGATACACGATCTTGTGACTCTGATATATCACCAACACTAAGATACCCAAAGCCAATTCCAGGGTTTTTGGGCTACGATCCGCATGATCTAGGCTCAAGCGCATGCAGGCCGGCGCGTACGGTGGAGCCGGCCTGAACTGACTAAACTCTCCATGTACGGCCGCCGGCCTTGACTATCGCAATGTCACGAGGATCTAGACGTCCAAAATGTTCCGGACATCTCCATGCGCAAAAGGACACATAATGTTTCTGGGACGTGGACAACGTCGCACGCTCTATTCAAGTGCCCAATCTGACGTCCACGAGTGCTGACACCTAGCCAAGAGCGCTGCACGGGCACCTCCAGCGTTGCTTCTTGTACTAGCACTTCACCCTCACCTCCTCAAGCTGTCCAAGCGTGCCTGAAGATCGTCATCATCCGGGTCAGCTCCGCCGCCGCCGACAGCCTGCGCCACCCTGGCTTCAGGTACTGCGTTCTTCTGCAGTCCGCTGGGCGTCTCGCCAAGCTATGTTACGTTAGTGAATGCACTTTCGGTGATTGCTGAGTACTCACAGCCTGGCCAAGATCGATGCCTATTTCATCTAGGACCTGGTTGACGACGTCTTCACTCTCCTCCTCGTCTTCCATGCCGGTGGCGTCATCGATGGCGTCGTCCATCATCTCCTGCCTCTGGTCCATGATATCGTTCTCCTTTTCAAACTCCATAGCAATGCGTTGAAGCGCGGGAAGGTTCATCTGCCTGTTCATGCTCCCAAGCAGTGCTGAAGTGTGTTAAAGTACGTCTAGCAAGATTAATAACATATGAACCTACTCGTTGCACCCTTCATAGATTGCATCATCTGCTCATTACTGCGTACTGTCTGCCCAATGTCAGCTGTGCCCAGATTTCAGTATGTGGTTGCCATGCCTGTATCCGCAATGAGATCGCTTGTAGTTGTGTGCGCATCTGGTAGAATTTCTGGATGTATCTTTGCGCAAACATTAGCCATGTGAAAGTAGCCATGCGACAAGCAGCGGCTCGGCATACCGTCGTGTCCGCACCAGATCCTTTGCCTGGATGCGCAGAGGTCCCATTTGGCCATTCTTCGCGCTCTTCTTGATATCTGCCACCAGCTTCTTCTCCTGGTTCTCGAGCTTCACGCGCTCGCGGTCTAGCTCTCGCTGCGTCTTCTCGAGTGCGCGCTGGTGTTTCCGCAGTCGCTCCGCCGGCGTCATGCGCTTTCCGAAGGCCCATTCTACGATCTGGCATTGATGTCAAACGCGATGTCGCTCAAATACTAGGTATACATACGTTCATGGTCGCGAGTAGACTGCAGGAAGGTTGGTGAGGATAGCTGGGCAGACTTGGAAGTAGGTGCAGCGGGTAGCGGCTGATGCGGCCACTTCGTCTAAACTAGAGAGTAGGTGGTAGAGGCCAGCTCTACGTTGGGCGGGTAGTTGTATTGAGAGACGTACGAGAGGTCAGAGTTGCAAAAGGTGTTGCCTTGCCCGATTATGTCATTCGATGTTCCGCCGGGCTGGAGGGCAAGATACGCAGGTATGGCGATGCCGAGCCTTGGAGGAACTGACTACCCGTTACCCACCTCTAAGCAATTGCGCTCTCAAAGCAATACGATCATATGAATTTCAACTGAAATTACTGCATCGAAACAACGCCCAGACATTAGACGCACACGAGACGTAGACGTGTAGAGCCGCGGTAGTGGACTCGTAGTGGTCACTGACAGCCAATCCCTGCTTGCTTGCGTGGTGGCGTGTGCACCACCAACTCTGACGTTGTCTCAGCATTCTTTTCTCGACACCGCCTCCCGCTCTACAACACCACCAACCCCCCTTCCGTGTCTATCACGACATGCGCCCCTCCTTATAGCGCAAACCACGAAACCACTCCGATGAATCCCGATCGACGAAACGGCCGGCCCTCCTCGTCTGGAGAGTCCTCCAGCAGCCGTCGTGGTGGGTCAGATGACTTTGTTCCGCGACAGAATGCTCGACCTGGATACATGACGGTTGGCGGCGGAAGCACCACAAGCGACGCCGCTGCCCGTCTCGTGTCCATGTTGGACGAGGACTCCGGTTATGGCGGAAGTATGCAAGATGGCGAAAGCAGCGGGATGAACTGGCGGTCTAACGTTGGCGAAGACAGGCCGTCACCTATGTCTTTTGCCGGGTCAGGAAACGCCGAAGTCGAGAAACAGCGCAGCCATGTGCTCCAATTGCGATACAACCAGAACAAAAACGCCCTCGGTCGGGCGATCGCCGGCACCATCGAGACATTGAAGAGTTTCCAAGAGATGAATCTGAAATGGCCGGCCCATTACCCCTCGGTACAGGTGGCCGAAAAACAAAAGGCGCACCTTCGCAGCGAATCTCGGCCTGGACTGCAGCACACGCAGTCTGCGATTGGCAACTTCGACCCCGATATGCGCTCTCCCGAACGACCTCGAGGACCCCGCCGAGCGGGCACAACAATTGGAGATGACCCCGCCGCCGAGTCGAGCGCTGCCGCCGAGCAAAAGCGTAGAGAAGAGCCTCGACTGGTTACGCCCCAACTTGCTCACGATTTCTCCGTTCTGAAGTTGGAACTGCGCATGGGCGGCCGAACACAGACGGACTTGGTACATTCGCTGGAGAAGAACTCTGTTGCGTCTCTCCTCGACGGCCAGATCCAACAGAGTATACGCCACCTCTTCTCTCTCAAGGAACGTATCGAAGACACGTCAAGCAAGGTCCTAGTCACGGGAGACTTGAACGCTGGAAAGTCGACCTTCTGTAATGCCCTCCTCCGACGTAAGGTCCTGCCCGAAGACCAGCAGCCCTGCACGAGCATTTTCTGCGAGGTTCTTGACTTCCGGGAGAACGGTGGTGTCGAAGAGGTTCACGCAATTCCCATCGGTTCGACGTACAACCGCAACGACGAAAGCACGTACGTTGTATTCGATATTAAGGACCTGGAGAAAATTGTCATCGACAACGATCATTTCGCACAGTGCAAGATCTACATCAAAGACATCCGAGATGTTGACGAATCACTTCTGAACAACGGAGTGGTCGACATTGCTCTCATTGACGCCCCGGGTCTGAACGCCGACTCTCTCAAGACCACCGCCGTGTTCGCTCGCCAAGAAGAGATTGATGTCGTCGTCTTTGTCGTTTCTGCTGCGAATCACTTCACCGAATCCGCTAAGAACTTTATCTTCACCGCAGCGCGCGAGAAGGCATACATGTTCATGGTAGTTAACGGCTTCGATACCATTCGCGATCAGAACCGTTGCCAAGAGATGATCTTGAAGCAAGTTGCTAACCTCAGTCCGGCCACCTTCAAGGAGTCCAGCGAGCTGGTGCATTTCGTTTCTAGTAACGCCATCCCTATGGGCGCAGGTGGGAGCTCCCCTGATGACGATGGTGACGACGATCCATCCGACAAAGGAAAGGGCAAGGAGGCAGAGAAGCAGCGCGACTTTGCCGATCTTGAGGCTTCGTTACGACGTTTCGTGCTGGAGAAGAGGGCCAGGTCTAAACTTGCACCCGCAAAGACTTATCTTCTCAACGTACTGGGAGATATGAACAACCTAGCCACAGTCAACCGAGATGTGTCTCAGAGCGAATTGGACCGCGTCAAGAAGGAGATCGAAGCGCTCGAGCCTGAGTTTGAAGAGTCCAAGAAGTCACGGACAGAAGCTGGAGAGGCAGTGGATCGCATGGTTGAAGATACGACGTCAGACGTCTATGGTTACACTCGAGACACGCTCAATAACTGCATTGCCAGAGTAGCTGAACAGGATCTTGGCATCGATTACCCTGGCCTGTTCTCAGCATACCAGTACGCTGAGGACATCAGGGACTCGATGCTCCATGAGGTCACTGAAAGCGTCCGTTTGTGCGAAGAACACGCTCGAACCCAAGCTGTGCAGGGCTACAACGGCATCAAAAACTTGGGTGTCCTACATCTTGGCAACAACTTGTATGCCGACGTCATGTTCCGTCCGGAGAGGATGTTCAGGAAGTCAGTGCACGCTCTTGCTCGACAAGTGGATATTGATATTGATCTGTGGGACTTCTTCGACATCGCCAGTCTGTGGGAACGCCAGGAGAAGGCCGCTGGTGCCGGTATGGCCATGACTGTTGCCGGCGTAGTAGGTGGCAGATTAGTCGGCGGTGTCGGCTGGGTAGATGGTGCTCTTGGTGCTGCAAAGGTCATGGGCACAAGCAACATGAGGAGACTGATAATCCCTGGTCTCATCGCTGGTGGTAAGTCAATCGTACGAGTATGAAATGTTGTATGCTAATATCAGCAGTCGCCCTCGGAGTATCATACGTACTGGCGTCCGTGCCTAAATCACTACCTCACAGACTTAGCGCGAAGCTATCTCAACAACTAGCGGCGATCGATTATACGCACTCCAACGCCCTTCGCATTAGCTCCGAGGTTCGGCGCGCACTCAAAGGCCCTGCTAACGATGTACGCATCGGTTTGCAGAGGAACGTCGAAAAGCTCCAGCTCCAGAAGGAGGAGACAACCAAGCTCAAGGCGGAAACTGAAGTTGCACGCAAGTACTTTGGCAACCTTGTCCGCAGCAGCAACGACTTGCGCCAGACGGTCCAACGCGTTGACCTGGAGGCAGCGCCACCCGTGATTGGCGGACCGATGCAGTAGATGCAATTTATGTCTTTATGCTATTTGAAAGAGTCACGGCTTATGCGTATGAAGAAAAGGTTCAAGCATGGAGGCGTTTGCAGGTGTTAGGATAGGTCACGACGAAGTAATCTTGCTCGTTTCCCCGGTGTACATACAATTGACCCAATACCCCTCTTGCTCCTTTGGTCGAAATCGATAGATATATACTCGCGAACTCTGAATAAGTGACTTGAAATATGGTGGTGAAAGCTGGATTTTGCCAAGCTGTCGTGTTGGACCCTGAACGTTGACGCCTGTCGACCTCGGATCTGCGCACGTCATCCCTCCAACGCTACCTAACTTTGCATACCCTACTTCCAGCATACCCGCTTCATGGCGGCTCATGCACACCCGAAACCACCCTGATGGAAACCAGAAGAGACCCGAGATCCTTTCTCTTCTTCATAATCCTCTTGCTGCTCATCAACTCGCCCGAACCGCAACAGCCGACATTCAATGCGCGCACACGCTACCGAGAGCTCATCGAGCGCGAATACTACCAGCTAGATCTCTTGAATCGGACGCGATACGGCGACTTCAGCGAGAAAAAGGACAAGTGGCTGAATATCACTGGGCTGAGGGATGAAGATGGCTTTGCATGGGAGCTACTGGACCCTGTGAGGCAGATAGCAAAGGCGCAGTCAGAGCGCCTTCTGGGAGATGGGTGGAAGGGTATGCTTGATGGCTCACTGCAAGAGGGAGAGGCTACTATGCCGGTATACAAGAATCTATCTGGTTACGTACAAGGAGAATGGACGCGCTCGCCGCTGAGTCGCATACGGCACCCCGGCGATATGGGCAATGCCTCGACTATCCCGGATCCCTTTGGAAATCTGGTAGAATATGACAGGAACCTAACCGGTGCAGGCGGGCCGCTGCGAATGCACATTACAGAGCTGGAAGATAGGATGCGAAGGAATGAGAACAAGACCATATCCGAGATCAGCGCGAAAGTGATTATTGGAGATAAAGACAGCTTTGGAGGAAATTGGTGGGAATTTGTGGCACATGGTGTCCATTTCATGAAAAGCGGGACTGCGGTTCTGACTACTACGAGCGATCGGTTCGCGGGTATCTTCGCTTTGCCTCACCTGCAGGTCACGCCCTATTTCTACTCAACATCGCAAGAGTTCCTGAACTGGACCATACATGAGACTATTGAACGGCAGGAGAAGAGAGCTTTTCCGCTCTGGAATCCCTGGACGTCTGCTGCAGAAGGCAACAATGAGGGCATGTTCCAGGGACACCATTGCGAATTCGTCTTGTATCTTCAAGAGTTCCCAAGTCAATCCAACGTCGACATAGACTGGCTCGAGCACGAGCTCCGGTTTCCTACTGGAGCTCCCGTCCCTCACGATGTTCCATATGCCATGTCCATGGTGGGCTTCTCACCGGATTGCGGTTTCGTAATTGAGTCAAAGGGTCCTCCAGACTTTCCGCCATCGGAGGCTATGCATCTGGTCGGTTCTAAGACAGAAGATTTCAATGTTCGCGCTAGACACGGTATCCTGGCTTTCGCCATCAGTCTTGCGTTCCAGCTTTCCTTCACTCTCAAGCAGATGAAGGAGACAGCAACGCCATCAATGCGGAGTCGAGTCAGCTTCTACACCATTGCTATGATGGCTCTGGGCGACGGCTTCACATTTCTGATCCTCATCTTCATGTATTTCTTCCTCGGTACAGCACAGTTGGCGCTATACAGTATCGCATTCATAGCGCTATTTTCTGTACTGACCCACCTCCGCTTCCTGATGGACATCTGGTCCGTACAAGCAGCCGAGAGAGCGCGTCAGGAGCGGCAACGAACTCCAGCGGCTACCACAACGACGCCGGCTCCAGCTCCCGAGACTGCTACTTCAGCACCATCTGCCGATGCCGGTCTGCCCTTGCCAGCAACCGCCGCTCGACCACCACGTCCACCCACTCCCATCATCATTGCACCAGATCAAGACGATCCGGATGAGGATGTCACATCAGGTCTGAACAATGCGCCCACGCCGACCAATGCCACGACAACGAACGCAAATCCGCGAGCTGAGCTTGGTGCACTGTATAGCCGCTTCTGCCTTATGCTTATAGTCCTGTTCTTTGTGACTATCCACTTCGGTACTGCTCGCACGACATATCGTGCTGTCTATTTCGACGTCATGACGTTCCTCTACCTGTCTTTCTGGATACCGCAGATCTATCGTAATATCATGCGCAACTGTCGGCGAGCATTGCGCTGGGATTATGTTGCTGGAACAAGCATGGTCCGCATCGCGCCTGTAGCATACTTTTACATGAAAGAAGACAATGTCTTGTTTTCAAGAACGGACTGGACAGCCATGGGCTTCCTGGCAGGCTGGGTATGGATGCAAGTGGTGGTGTTGGTGAGCCAGGAGGTTCTCGGCCCACGATTCTTTGTCAGAGACGGATGGGCGCCGCCAGCATACGACTACCACCCCATTCTACGCGAAGACGAAGAAGGCGCAACCATGCCGCTCAACATCACGACTTCGTCGGATTCACCATCTACAATTGATGCTTCGGCAGCAGAGGGCGAAACCACCAAAGCATCAGGCGAGTCCAAATCCAAAGGCAAGAAGGTTTTCGATTGCAGTATCTGTGCCAACGACATTGAAGTACCAGTCATACCTGCTGGAGCTGATGAGAGCAGTGTAGTTGGCATGGGTGGGACGAGCATGATTTTGCAAAGGCGACAGTACATGGTGACGCCTTGTCGACACATCTTCCACACTGGATGTCTCGAAGGGTGGATGAGGTATCGATTGATGTGTCCAAACTGCAGAGAGAGTCTACCGCCGTTGTAAACGAAGTAATTCGAGTACAGTCAGATTTTGCCTGCATGGGGAGTATTTTCCAGTCTACCTCTGTGTCTGCCACGCATGAGTGACGCATGTCTCACTGTCCGCGTAACAAGTGGGTCATTTAGCGCGCCTTGCAGCTCCACCTTCGGAAGTGAAAGCGTAACGGCGACAAGCTCCAGGGGCAGTCCGTTCTGTACTGCGCGCAGTCAGACAGATATAATGTGAAATACAATATGGATGCGCAAATTCAAACATTGCCACTTTCTGCGTCAACTTGATGCACAGGTCGGTGATTTCAGTGAGCAGGGCACTTATTAATAGTACCTCTACGCCACAGATCGACGCTTAGTCGCTAAGGGCACGCATCCCTACCCGGTCCACAGCTGGGGCTGAGCTACGCATCCATCGCTTTCTGAGCCCTGGCCTTGCATACGCAAACCACAACTCTCAGCCTCTCAGGCTACACATTCGCTTCTGTGCTGCATCTGTCTTCTGCGTTGGCATATAATAGCGGTGCCTCGTTTCCAAGTAACTGCTCTTATCCTCTTCCGCAGTTCCGAGACACCAAACGAACCCCTGGACTTGTACAAAGCTTGTTCGCAGCCGCCCTCGTTGCCTGCCCCAGCTTGAGCAAGGCCAAACCCTTCGTCTACCCCACAGCTCATTGTTGTACATAACCGACCTCGCCTACACCACGCCCGTTGGCACAGCGCATTACCCCTACTACAGAGCGCATCTAGTTGTGCAACCTGGCGACTTCCTAATACCACTACCAGCGCTTGCCTATCATGGCGGCCAACGACTACTACGCCAACTCCCACCCGGGGCAGTCCAACGACAGGAACGATGCGCCTCTGCCTCCAGTACCCGGCAACCACACACAACACTCCGTCTCGCCCGTCAGCTCGCCCTTTGACGACCGACCCTATCCCACACACACATCCAGCAGCGGTGCGCTCGGCGGCTACCCCATCGATACATCGTATTCAAATACCTCATACCAACCTCCGACACAGTATAGCTCGACCGCACATATCAACGACCCGTACGCGCGGCAGCCAGACCCCTTCGCCGACCAAAACGCGATACCGCTTCAGACACAGCCGAAGATGGATGGCAGCAGTCCGACACGGTATAATGGCGACCCAGAGTACTACGGCATGGGCGTAGAACCCAAGAGGAGAAAGAGTAAAAAGAAGAAAGGCTGGTTCAGTGGCAGAGTGACGTGGGTAGTCTATCTTCTTACGGCGGTGCAAGTGGGCGTGTTTGTTGGCGAGTTGATCAAGAATGGTATGTTGTTACAGTACAAACATATCTGGAGACGTAGACATTGACTGACAGCGGATAGGCATCTTGACAGGCAGCCCCATCCAAACCAAGCCAAACTTCAACATCATGATCGGTCCTTCGCCCTACGTTTTGATTAACATGGGCGCGCGCTTCACACCCTGCATGCACAACATCAAGAAAGTTATCGAAGCCGATGGTGGACCCGTCCTTCAATGGCCATGCCCGAATACCACCACCCTTACCGATAACACGTGCACGCTGGCTGAACTCTGCGGCATGGGCGGTGGTGTCCCCAACCAAGAGGGTATCACAGACTTCAAGGATAGAAGCCACGAGCCGAACCAATGGTGGCGCTTCATTACTCCTATATTTCTGCACGCAGGAATTATTCACATCGGCTTCAACATGCTTCTACAGTGGACACTAGGTCGAGACATGGAAAAGGAAATTGGTCCCCTCCGGTTCGCACTCGTATATTTCTCCGCCGGTATCTTCGGTTTCGTGCTCGGTGGCAACTACGCACCCGATGGTATCACTTCTGTTGGTGCTTCCGGATCCCTCTTCGGTGTCTTGGCTCTTACCATGCTCGATCTCTTATACAACTGGTCCACCCGCCGCAGTCCGGTCAAAGACCTACTCTTCCTCCTCCTCGATATGGCCATCGCGTTCGTCATTGGTCTACTCCCCGGTCTAGACAACTTCTCCCATATCGGAGGCTTCCTCATGGGAATCGTTCTGGGTATTTGCATCATCCATTCACCCGAGTCGCTGCGCGCAAGAACAGGTCAAAGCGAACCGCCGTATGCAACAGTGGATACTCAGCCCCTCGCTCACGAGCCGGTTGCTACAGAATCCAAAAGCAAGCTTACCGCTTTCGCCAAACAGCCAGTTGGCTTCTTCAAAGGTCGCAAGCCACTCTGGTGGGCGTGGTGGCTTGTACGTGCTGGCGGTCTGGTGGCAGTCTTTATAGGCTTTATCCTGCTGCTGAGAAACTTTTACGAATGGAGGAATACTTGTAGTTGGTGCAAGCATTTGTCTTGCTTGGTACGTGTATCCTTGTAGTTTACCCTTGAAGAGTACGGATTGCTAACTTTACCCTAGCCCATCACTACAAAGGGTGTGTCGTGGTGTGATATGGGTAGTCTGAACCTTACGACGACCGAGACTCCTAGCAAGAGGAGTTTAAATCCGGCGAGCCTGGCTCACTTTATGGGCGAAGCGACTGTTGGACGGATACTGTAGAGGGGAGAGCATCGATAGATGAAGTGAATGAGTTGGTTCTTGAGCACAAAGATTTCATCAACCGTCTGGCATACATGGGACGCAAAGCATAGATACCACATACCAATATTGAAGGATTGCAATATTTTCCTACCAGAAACTTTTTCCACGCTGTTGTGATAATTCTCCATAAAGCCAGTGAATGTGTCATGCACTTGCTATCATTGCCCGCCAAAGTCCACCCAGGAGTATACATCGCCCACGAGAATCAATCCCTCTTGTCATGAACAACCAAGCCCTCGTTTACCACTGTGATTTCCTGGGTATACCACCGATCTGTACGGCCGAGTGTATGGGATTCTTCCAGTCCGGAGGCGTAGTAACGGTATACTGCAGATAACTAGCAACAGGCGGCTTGTACATCTCCATATGCCCAGTCTCCGCATTCCTCCGCAAGGTGGGTCGGGTATTAAGATGATCAGGGCGGATCTTCTCTTGTACACCAAGGAAGCCACCGGACATCCTGTCGAGGAAGACGCCAAAGTTATCAGTATGGTTGATGGTACATTTAGAGCCATGGGATTCGCAATGAGCCATGAGAGCGGTGGCGGACTTGAAGTACTTTAGGCATTTAGGGCACTTCACGCGTGTTATGCGGTGGTCGACGAGAATGTGGTTGTTGAGATCTTGGCGAATGTCAAAGCTTTGCCTATTGCTACGTTAACGATGAAGCAGTAAGAAAGCCAGAGGAAAAGACTTACTCGCAGACGAATGGACAATAGTACTTGTTGATGATTGAGTCGTAGAACCTCTCTGGGTTCCAGTCGGAACTCATCGGATCCCAGAAGCGATCACGAAAGAGATTGGGACCATGTGCATGCTCCATAGCCTCATCATGTGCAGAGACAGAGAAGTCACTGGGAGGAGCTTTGGGTTTGGCGTTTTGAAACAGTATAGAGCCTGTTGATTTGCCCTTGCGAGGGCCCCAAACCTTGGTCTCATGATTGGACGAAGAAACACTGGAGCCCTGAACCTCAGAACCATCATGAACGAAAGAGTCGACATCGACGTCTCCATTGAGAGACATGCCGCCTATCATCGATGCAACCCCCATGTCTACGCCGGACATAAACCCGCTCTGAGTAGGCAGGGGAGGGTAGTGACCGCTGAAGACCGGAGTGTGTGGCTCTTCTAGGGAAGGATCGGGCTTGATCGCCTCGAATTTGACGTCCTCAATGTCTGCGCTGTCGTCGATGGGGTCATCGCTGAGCAGAACACCTCCGACCTCTTCTACGTCGATAGCTGCCTCGTACTTGGACATCTTTTGCTGCAATCGGTTCCATGCTGGACCATCCTCTAAATATTTCTCGACGAGATGCTTATGGACGACGTGGCCTTGGAACTGGGAGGCTTGAATGACCTCACAGTGACCAAACTCGAGGTGCTCGATGAAGAGGCATGCACGGTAGAAGGACTTCTGACAGCCGATGCAGGTAAGCTCTTGATCAACCTTGTGGTTACGCTCAATGTGACGCTTTAAGCCAGACGTGCTCTTGAACTCGTCACCACAGACGCGGCATGCTTGTCCATGCTCCTCAGGCCGTGTGATCTTGTGCATGGCGTAGTCTTCGAAAGTTTCAAAGTCCTCGTCGCACTTGTGACAGTATTCGTGATCGTCGAAGTTCTTCTTGTGGTTCTTCATGATCTTCTCTGTGTCGAAAGACATGTCGCAGTCTGCATACGTGCACTTGACCCGCCTGATGGGTTCGAGTGTGGCTGGCATCTCTGCTCTTTCCGTACGGATAGTCCTTGCGGAATGAGTGAGCTTCACCGCAGATGACTTAGGCTCGTCTGCTAGTCGGATAATTAATACTCAAAGAATCGAGTACAGTAGCGTGACGCGTGTACTTACCTGAATATGCAGTGATACGAGCGATTGTGCGTGAACTGTCGAAGCCTCACCTATTTTGGTGGTTCTTAAAAGTTCCTTTAAACTTGCTACACCGACTTCGACAGCAGACGCAAGCTTCCCGTGAGTACAGTAGTTTTGGAAATTGGGGGTAGCCTGGAAGAGAAGCACAGAGAGTGTGATGTTGGCCGATTTTGTGACAAAGACTGAGAGAAAGCTTTGTGTTATCTGGGGGTTGGTGGTGAAGATGGTGGTGTAGGAAGGACGGAAGCTTGTAGTCTGGCGGATTTGAGAAACTGAGGGACAGCTAGTGGTGAGTGTGGTGTGGGGCTGAACTAAGCAAGCATGAGGAATGACAGGTGAAGGAGGGTTCGAGATAGGTAGGCAAGAACGTTGGGTGTGTACTCTCACCCAGGAAATTGCCATCCTCGCTAACAACAAACAAAATTTCAAGACAGTAACCTCGATTTGTTTACGCAATGCGATCTTCAACACCAACGACCCCAGACTTACAAAGCATGAACTGGAGATACCAATCGTCTCCATCTCGATCGATTCGCTGGCTACTCATGCCGTCCGTCATGTATTCGTGGTAAGCTTGATACACTGCCTATACATGGCGCCGAAGCTCTTTGAATGATTGTTACTAGTATTGGCATTATGACATAGTTGAAAGAGAGAGTAAACTTGATATTGATCATGAGTTCAATTGCTAATATGATCCACTTAGAACCGCGAGTACGGTAGCCTAGATACCGGTCAGTAACATATTCGAGAAGATTCATATGAACATACCATTTGCCCCTCAGTGTAATTTTGGCCCACTCGCCCTTGTCGTCAGTCTCCTTCTCTACCTTTGTACTGAACGAGATAGCACTCATAATGCCATCACCAAACTTCTCATGCATAACCGCCTTGTATGCCTGTCCATAGTTCTGCACAATCTCATAGAGACGGTAGATGGTGGGGTCCTTTGGTGGCATATCGAGCGTGCTGCCTCGGTTGGGAAAGCCTGACAGCTGCGATTCGAGCAGGCCGGCGTCAATTTCCAGGATTTCCGACAGCTTCTTAATATCTTCAGCGGAGGCCATGGCCTGGCCGTAGAAGAGAGCGGCAATTGCAACTTCATCACGTCCAACGTGCTTTGCGATCGCTTCGAAGGATAGGTTCTTCTTCTTTTTTGCTTCGAAGAGCGTTGGAGAGGAAGGTGGAAGGCGAGGGATGAGCTCTTCCTACGAGATTGTCAGCATCTTCCGACACTTCTCCATTCTCTCCTTACGTTCAAAGTTGCAATCGGGTGTTGCGCCATGGCGATAGGCGTTGAGTGGAAGCACCGGGTAGCGGCAAGAGGTACAGCTGGTCGTATGGATCCCAATGTACGAGAGGCCAATCTGGCAGAAACTGCAAGTCGAGAAGAGAGGGCCATCGTCAAAGATATGTCAAATAGGATAAGAAGTTATGTCAGTGGTGTTGTGTAACGGCGTGGGGAGATAAGATGAGGAGCTCTCCAGCTGCCGAACAGCTTAAGCAGCCAGCCGATGATACAAGGGTACGTCATACATATGCGCTGCCGCATCTACATGCGACCCACAAGTTGTGTAAACCATCGCACAAGCGCTATGTACAGTAAGGAGGACTCCTAGTACCACTCTCTTCGCGATGCGACATGATGGGTAGACTGCTACAACCACGCGTCGCGTAGTATCGTGGAGGGCGTCAAGAAGAGGGGGAAGCTCCATAGTGGGGCGTTATGAGGGGTTAGATCCTAGATCCTAGATCCTGGCATCTGGCCAACAGAAGGGAATCAGGGTGCGTGCACTCCATTGGTGTCTGTTTCACATGCTCAGCTCGTATGCTTCCCTGCATTGGCATATGTATGCCCCGTTTGCCGCTGATGATGACGCGGGGTCATCGCGACCTCGAACTCCACCTCCGGAGCTTTACTTAGTAACATTCCCTAGGCTTCATACCTTCTGCGCGACTGGCAAACAACCGAAAGCTTCAGTCCGGCACAATGTCTCGCCGAGATGATGATCTGGCATATGGCGACTACCATGGGCAGGGAGGCGAGGAGGGCGATCGCGGGTTTGTAGGTGACATGGGTCGGCGTTTTGGCTTTGGCAGAAAAGAGGTCAGTACATTCTTCTGAAACGCCATGCTGTCATTGTACGCTTCATAGGTATCAAGCTGTTGAGGAAGTGGAATTGCCCCACTATCGATAATCATAGCGCTGAGCTGGCCTCGTCATTCACCATCCTCGCCTATCTTGCGTTTCTATTTCTATTTCTTCACCGCCTAGCTTGCTGCAGGGACGAGACGCGTATCTGGTAGCTTGACTTGGGTCCTTTGATTGCTGACTTTGACACCACAGAATAACCAACACTCATCTTCATCCTCAAACCAGGGCAGCGGCGGCATGTCGTTCTTCAAGAAGATCCACGACCCGCTTCACGGCTTCGTCTCTGATCTCAAGGATGCCATATCCGGAGACGACAACGCGCAGAAGCCCCCGCCGGGTACATACGAACAACAGGGAGGGCAGCCACAGCCTGGGCAGGAGTACCACGAGCAACACCGCTTCTCGAGCTTCGCGCCTGAACGTCATGGCAATGACATCAAGTGGTATGTCGATGGATGCAGGTAGGTCTCAAGTGTGCTCGTGCGCTAGAAAACAATCAATTGATATTGGGTAGCTACATGTATGCTGTTTCCATAGCCCTGGAGCGCGCCAGAGAGTCGATATGGATACTTGACTGGTGGCTCTCCCCCGAGCTGTATCTCCGTCGACCGCCAGCGAAGAACCAACAGTACCGGGTCGATAGGATGCTGCAAGCGGCAGCGGAACGCGGTGTCAAGGTCAACATCATTGTATACAAAGAAGTGACCCAAGCTCTGACTCGTAAGTTTTTAAATCCAACGTTACCCGACTATCTTCATTCTCTTCTACCGAGTTCGACGGACAGGTTCACCCAAGGCCTCACGCGAGTCGGCCTAGATGTCATATTCAAAAGTCTTGAAGAGTGGGAAAAGACAGATCCGCTGATTGCCCCTCCTATTACAGTTTCTTCAGCTCATACCAAGCACCACTTGGAAGATCTTCATCCTAACATTGGCGTTTTCCGACACCCCGATCATCTGCCGGATGCAGCAGTACTACAGTCGTCTTTCTTCGCAGCCATGAAAAACATGTCTTTCACCCCAGCAAAACTCGCCCAACTTCCTGGAGACGGTCTCAAGGCCATTTATGGTGCTCACGAGGGCACAGTTATGTACTGGGCGCATCACGAGAAGCTCTGCCTGATCGATGGCTACATCGCGTTCATGGGCGGACTGGATCTCTGCTATGGTCGTTGGGACACCAACCAACATGCAATCGCTGACGCGCATCCTGGCAACATCGACCGCATTGTGTTCCCAGGCCAGGATTTTAATAACGCCCGCATGCTCGGTGAGTCGCTTTTTCTTCGTGACTCTGAAATTGGAAGACGACAGATAGGCAGTCACTTGCAAGCTACGTGCGTAAGGGAAGCTGCTAACACCTGACAGACTTCCAGGATGTGACCAATTGGGAAAACAACAAACTCGATAGGACACAAAGCTCTCGTATGGGATGGTCTGACGTGGCTTTGTGTATCTCTGGCCCGGTCGTACAGGATCTTCGTACTCACTTTGCGCAACGCTGGAACTTCATCTATGACGAGAAGTACAGCAAAAAGGCTACCAGATACGCCAGACTACCAGAAACTAGCAGTGGAGCTCAACAGGCTCCCATGCAACAGCGCGGATTTGAAGGCGAAGAGGAAGGCGAACGTGGCTTTGGTCGTGAGGAGGAGGGCGAGCGAGGGCTGTTCGGACACGGTGCTGGTGGACACCTTCGCCAGAAGATGCAGAGCAGGTTCGAACAATACGGCCAAGAACATGGATCGCAATATGGCCAGCAACAATCCCACGCGGAACATAGCTCCCAGCAAGGTGGTGTGGATTGCCAAATTACTCGTAGCTCTGCCAAATGGAGCCACAACTTGGTCACTACCGAAGTAAGTGACCCTATCCACCGGAAAGACACCGACTGATGAATTTTTTAGCATTCTATCCAAAATGCCTACTGTGAGGTCATTCGAAACAGCAAGCACTTCATCTACATCGAAAACCAGTTCTTCATCACTGCTACCGGTGATCAACAGAAGCCGATCAAAAACAAGATCGGAGCCGCTATGGTCGAACGCATCATTCGCGCTGCACGTAATGGCGAGAAGTACAAGATGATCGTTATGATTCCTGCAGTGCCAGCATTTGCTGGTGACTTGAAGCTTGATGAAGCCCTGGGTACTCGCGCTATCATGGAGTGTGAGTCACATGTATTCTTTCTGCATGTCTTCTGCTGACGGGAGTACAGTCCAGTACGACTCAATCAACCGCGGTGGTCACTCGATCTACGAGGAAATTGCTAAAGCTGGATTCAACCCTATGGACTACATCCGATTCTACAACCTTCGCAGCTACGACCGCATCAACTCTAGTCAGATTATGAAAGAGGCAGAGCAGCGCAGCGGCGTTTCGTATAACCAAGCTTCAGAGGGTTACGACGCAGCACATGACAACGCTCGTGGCTACGAGGCTTATCGTCCACCGCCCACTCAGGAGTACGGCGTTTACGAGATGGATGGTTCCGGTCGTCCTCCATCTCACGGCCGACCCGATGCTGGCCCGCAGAGTCAGGGAAGACCAGGTGATTACGATCGCTACCAGCAGGAAGCAGCCAAGATTGGTGGTCGTCAAGGACTCGGCGACGGACGCTGGGACACTGTCAGCGAGTGTTATATGCTTGGCGGCGAAGACATCCGTAGCGTGCCTTGGGAGGGTAGTGCTGCCGATGAAATGGACGCCTTCGTGTCTGAGGAATTGTACATCCACAGCAAGCTTTTGATCGCCGATGACCAGATCGTTATTTGCGGCTCTGCAAACCTCAACGACCGTTCCCAGCTCGGCGACCACGACTCGGAGATTGCGGTCATTATTCAGGACCCGAGGCCGGTCGACTCTTACATGGACGGACGACCATACCGTGCATCAGAGTTCGCTGCTAGTCTACGAAGAGAACTCTTTAGGAAGCACTTAGGTCTACTGAAGCCTCAGGATATGGAGCGTCCGACAGCCAACTACCAGCCTATCGGTGTTCCCAATGAGTACGACTGGGGCTCGAACGAGGACCGACAAGTCGTTGATCCATTGTCTGATGACTTCCAGAACTTGTGGAACTGGAGAGCGCACACCAACACACAAGCTTTCGGCAAAGTATTCCACCCTGTGCCGAGCGACGAAGTCAAGAACTGGAAGCAGTACGACGAATACTATTCCCGGTTTTTCGGACAGGACGAGAAGGCAAAGGAGAACAAGAAGCCATCCATGTACAAATGGGGCCACGTGGTTGCAGAGAACTTTGGGCAGGGCGAGCAAGGTGTACGCGAGGTCAAGGAGGTGCTCAGCACCATCAAGGGAAACTTGGTGGAGATGCCCCTTCTTTTCTTGAAGGAAGAAGATATTGCGCAGGAAGGTGTGGGACTGAACGCCGTCACTGAGGAGCTTTACACCTAGGTGCCTCGCAAGTAGACGTAGTACCAATCAAAAATCGGATGCTCAATAACGGACTAAGACGATGGCGATATCTATTACTAGTGCATGCGTGAATAACGGTAATAAAGAGGGGAAGAGTGAATTGATGGTGGATCTTGGACCCTGACTAGCTTGATAGCGGCGGGTGCTCGATTAGCGGCGATCGCCCCTGTTCGCATGTGATGTGCCCCAGATTTCCCAGGTTGCGCGAGATGGTTGTGCAAACATCGTGTGTACTTCGTTTTGCGGCGCCATGCCCCGTCTAATGACAGCTCGCAATGCTGTCATACTGGTTAATGTCATACTCGTCACTGCGCTGTTCGTCCATCTCAAGTCTGAGCTCTGGGACAAGAATGTCGCTGCAGTTGGATCGGCCACTCTGACACACCTTCCCGACGAACTCTACGACGAGCAACAGCCGGGCGAGGCATCGCACGATGCGAAAGAGAAGCCCCTAAAGGCCAATACTGGTATCAAAGCGCGTCGGACTGCGGTAGTCGTCGCGAGCCAGAGTTCTGAAAATGCGACGTGGCTAGAGGAGTACTTCCCAGAGTGGGAGAAGAACATCTATCGCGTAGACGACGCGAACGCTCCGCTTACAGTACCCAAGAACAAGGGCAGAGAGAGTATGGTCTATCTGACGTACGTACTGGGTCGCGCCTTCCGTCCTGAATACTTCGCAAGCTAACAGATTCCTGCTCAGCTACATCATCGATCACTACGCCTCGCTTCCCGACAACGTCCTCTTCATCCACCCAAACCGCTACCAATGGCACAACGACGATCCCGACTATGACGGCCTCCCGATGCTCCGCCACTTCCAGCTGCCTTACCTTGAGAAAGAAGGCTACGTGAATATACGTTGCGCATGGTCCTTGGGCTGCCCAAGCGAGATCAAGCCTCTTGCCGAAGAAGGCGAACACAGAGAGGCCGTGCATGCTGGCGGACAATATAAGAAGGCCTTTGAGCAGCTGTTTCCCGGAGACAAGGTGCCAGCTGTCGTGGGCGTGAGCTGCTGTGCGCAATTCGCCGCGACAAGAGAGAAGATTAGGGAGAGAACTAAGGAGCAGTACGAGAAGTATCGCGACTGGATCATGGAGACGGATCTCGGCGATGCTATCAGCGGCAGAGTTTTCGAGTACTCATGGCATAGTAAGTCCATACCCCACCGCCCCACGTGATGAGGCTCTGCGTGTCTTTGCTTTTTTGAAGTGGCGTACATCTCATGCTAACACCATTGATAGTCATCTTCGGTAAGCCTGCCGTACACTGCCCAAACGCCCAAGACTGCTACTGCAAGGTATTTGGCATCTGCAACTTGACATGTCCAAACCAAGGAAGCTGTGAAGGACGATATACTCTGCCACCCTACTCGAGCTTACCAAAGGGATGGCCCTATGTGGGGTGGGAGGGCAAAGAACGCCAGCGCGCTGCTTCTGAGCAGTGATTGACATACCTGTGGGCTTATCGTCAAGCTACTGCGTCTCCTTCGTTCGCATGTACGAACATACACATCCACTAGCCGAAGGACTCAGCCGCGACGCTTCACTTTTTCTGTTCCATCTACTGGCATAGTTGGCTATCTCAGCCTGATGCTAAGGGACACGACCAGCTCTGAAAATCAGTCATGTGTGTCTGCACACATCACTACGTGCCAAAAACCTCGTACTTGACAAGTTAGTCGGATCACTGTAAGAGCTGGTGATACGGTTGCGCAAAGCACAAAAGGCGCGAACGAGTAACACAACTATGCAGCGCCGCTCCAGCGCCATCGAAACAGCAATGTACAGTTCATTGGTTGCTATGGAGGCTAAACGTTGACTAGAATGCTCCTCCAGCATATAGTCGAATGGTTCCGTCGCTCTAAGTTTCCGCAGCCAGATTTCCAAACTTTTCTGTACCAGACAGGAAGATCGCGACTCGTTAAAGGTCTTGATCACACGGAAGTCCGCATGTGCTATCTACGCGACGGCGTACTACACGATCAACCATTCGCTAAGCTTCCTGATTTTTTGCCCCCTTATGCACGAAGAGCGGTAGGGTGTAGTCAATAGACTGCAATCTACTCTGCAGATACCCGCTTCCGCGAGCTTGTACCAATCCCTTCTTTGACTAGGGCAAAGGGCGTTGACAATACGCTCATGCAAGTCCAAGGCCCGACAAAATACGTACCCTGGCAGACCATGCATCTTTATGGCGCCAGGCATCAAAAAAAAGTCATTATGACCGGTTCTGGAATTAGGCTGGTCCTCGGTTGCTCAGCTAAAACTGTGCCGGCTGTATAGCGAGGCTGAGGATTTACGATAACATGGAAGCGCACAGCATAACTGGGGCTGAACTAAGCGGTAAAGTCGGACAACCTTGCGAAGCGTGTCGTTCCATCCGCTGGCCATGTAGCACCGATTTCTGAACCGTCAATTGTTGGGCGCGGGGAGTTTGGAAGGCTTAGACAACAAGAAAGAGGAAGATTTGGTGGGGTACCTGGTCATACAGAGCCGCAATACGCTAAGCGTAACCGGTCCCAGTGTCAGCATCCATGATGAGGCTCAAGCACTTGGCGCATGCTATCATCCACACTGTTGTCGCACGAAGCATTGTCCTATATCAGAACTTAAGGGATTGTGCAAATCACATTTCCCTGATCGGTATGGGATGTCGCACCTTGTGACCGCAATTCGACATAACCCCGCAAGATAGCATTGGGCATTCTTCGTTTCAAACTCAGCCTGATGCTATACGAACATGGTAGAGGACGCTAAATGGTTCCGACCCTTGCATCATTCCAGACCTAGTCGTTGGTGGTAGACATCCACCTGCACACACGCTAAGGATGAGGCTCTGCTAATGCTCAGTATTCAAAGGCGTCCATGCTTGCTGCACATTCATCGAGTATTGTCCAGCTGATAAACGCCACCTGTCGTTAGCTCAAATTATCTCCTCTAATCGTACATCCCAAGCCCTTTTTGCTTCTTCTAGGCCCAATTACTCGCATGGAAACTTGCTCACGTGCCTTCTTTGTCCTGTCCTCGAGCACGTTTCTAGTATCATATCGCTTTTGATGACTACTTCTCTCGATCAACTTCCTTTTGACGTACTCTTTTGCGTTACCCTCAATTTGGATCTTGAAGACATTTTTCACCTTGGTCAAACATGTCGACTGTTGAGGGCTTTACTAGAGGAAAGGACAGTTTGCAGACGCGCTGTCGAAGTAAGCCGATTCGAAATGCTCGACATGCTCGACATGCTTACATACCATGCTGACACTGCTTATAGATCAACCATCCATACACGGAAGAAGCACTTTCAGCCCGAAACGAGAAAAATACTTATGAGCAAGCCTTCCAGGCTATCTATGAGAGGAGAAATGCCTTGTCAACTGCATACCCTTATTCAGCTCGCGTCTTAGAACAGCAGGGCAATAGCTTTGTGTATCGTCAAGGGACCGTATGTATATTCGATGCTGGGATGGTCTATGTCTCGGATCTCCGCACTAAGCTGAACCCGGTCCATCTTGATCTCTCTGCTATTGTGCGACCTGTTCTGGAGTCAAAGTTCAGAGCATTTGGTAATTTTGGGTTGCGCTTACTTCATTATGCTGATGGAATACTCGCTGTACACGCCACGCCGAAGTATAGCTCAGACCACAGTCACATAATCGCGATCCACACAGCGGCAAATCTTCCAACTGACCAAAGAGTGATTGAATCGATACAAGTGGCCAGATGCTCTAAGCTTTTTGCCAGACACAACGCCCGTTATCTCTACTACGGCACTCATACTGGAATAGGAGACGATGGCCACTCTAAATGGGAAATCGACGGTATCTCACTTTGTGAGGACGCTGAGCTAGCGGAACGCGAAAGACCGTTGCTGCTCGACAAGTTCCATGGATCTGACATTGGCTCTACGATCGCGTTCGAAATACATAACGGCTACTTCTACGCCGTTTCCAACCAGGGAACCTTTGAAGTCGAAGAGATCGATTATACTTCCTTTTACCACGTGGTCCGGTTTCCACTCAAGTCACCATTGCCAAAAGATATTTCTAAGGATGAGCGCCTGTATCGGCGCCAACACAAACAGGGACCGATCCACGACTCGTGGACCGATCTTACATTGCAGCTTGATGAGCGTACGAATGAGACAGTGATCGTGGAATCACGACGAGAGTGGGCTCAAGCATCTTCTCGTCAATCACGCACGTTCTACGTCACTAAACTGGACTTCAGAGAAGAGGATGATATGGAAGAGTCGTCCGATGAGCCGCTACTACCTGAGGATGACCTCTACGTGCCCCTTATCGACTCTTCAAACAACGCCCATTGGAAACCTACACCAGACCTCTATAGCTGGAGCCAACACCCTGAGTTTTCTCCTACCGATCCATCGCCCCGGTCTTTCATCCTTGCGAGAACAAAGTTTAGGGCGTACAGTTATGCATGCACTTCCTTCGTCGATCTCGTAGAAGACGAGCGTTGCTGCAATGATCCCTCCCAGCCGCCCTGCCTTAGGCTCAGAATAGGATCAAGACGCGAATTGGGCCTTGAATACTCGGCCACAAGCTGCAAGGGAAAGGCCCCAATCGACGAGATGAAGCCCAACTTCCTGGATACCCAAACACGGTACCGCCATTCATCTATCCGCATGTGGCCTCCTTCAGCATCGCGCTGCCCCTGCTCAAAACGTCTGCATAATATACTCAACCGAACACTACCATCCGCATCTCCATCACATACAAGGAGCATCACCGGTGTGCTCGACGAACAACGCCTGATCTTCATGATCAAGCCGGGACGGTCATATGGTCCCAGCGATGACAACACATTGGGCACCATCGTCGTAGTCGACTTCTCCCGCCCTCTTACATCTACAGCCCATGCACCCTCAGCACCGCAGCCACCATCGTTGTCACGATGTGACAGCAAAATGGACGACGATGTGGGCGTTCATGTTGACGAGTTGGCATGGTATTGGTCCTCCGATTCCAAAGGGCGCTGCCGAGGCAGGACGTGTCAGTGAACGGTTGGGAGCCGTGTCTATGTACAATCGAGACCGATGGAGAGAAGAACATTTGGGGCGAATATTATTGAGCCTCATACAAGGCAGATGGAAAGTGGTGCGCATACCATTTATCACTTTCATGATTCTGCCTCATTGCGCAGCAATACGATGTTGTCACGATCCATGTACATGTGCATGATGCAAGCCCTCCTGCAAGTCGCATGGGGCGGCTGGTGAGAACTATATGGACCCCGCACAAGGCTGTATGTTGTAGATAAGGCAGGACGTGGTCCTTCAAAGCACGCCATCGTCCTCCGTCTCTATAAAAGTCTGTTTATGCATCTTTTCTCGTAGGAATATTCATAATCTTTCTCCATGCCTTGTTCAGTTGTCTTGCGTCTATGGTAGTGTGGTAAGTGGATTGCGTACAAAGCTGATACGCACCTGTTGATGTAGTCATCGAACACGAATATGCACTTTCCTAGAATATAGCGAAATCCCATGCAGGTCTTGGACATGTCTGCGGGATGCGTTAATGTCGGTGATGTACCTTGGTAGAGAGTCAAAGTCCGGTGCTTAGTCCAAGCGTTCACCATTGGAGCCGTATCATGATGTATTGAGGCGGGTCCTTGCCGACATGCACATCAGTGCAAGCAACAGTGCGTCTCGGTACAGGCACGAGGCAAGGTGTAGATAACGCATACAATATCGGACAAGTGTCTTCATTGATCTATGTGCCGCATCTGCATGCATATCTCATCTAAAAAAAAATCCCAATGCACTCGCTATTAGAATCCTCGCAACATTCTAGACTCGGGGACTCGACACGTGAATAGACAAAACGGTGCCAGTGTGATGTTGGTTTCGCCATATAACTCCAAGCTATGAAATGTAGTGTAGGAAAAGTGGAAGGTGGTTAGAGCAGAAAGTCGGTCCGAAAGTGGGGAAGTATGTACAGTCGAAATAAAGGTGCCACGGTAGGAATATCGGGCGGTATGATGTAGGGCAGCGGAAACGCGTTTCTTCACCGCAAACTCGAGAGAAAGGTCTGTCGACGTTCCGGTGAGGATGGTGGAGTGATGACAGCGTGAGATTTGAAGACTTTGATGTCCGGGACCCACTCCGTTTTAAAGATGCAGATGGAGTGACGGCTCACGGCCGACTTTAACCGGCAAGTTGCTGTCGCAGCATGTCGATGCTTGTACGCGAAGTGGTGAAAGCGGTGCATTCGTGACGAGAAATTGGTTGCCACCTTGTGGTCAAGTTATAGCTCCATGCCGTCAAGATCTCGCATAACACAAGCCATCTGTGCCCGTTTCGCAGCCTCGGCAAGCAGCGCAGCCTGGTTGAGATAGTTTGTAGTCTCAGCTGCAGTCTGACCGGCACCGTCTCTATTCGGTTGGTACTCGAAGCTGGGATGTCGTTGTGCTTGGAGACGAGGCTGCTGCTGTGCTTGTTGCGACTGCTGGTTCAGGGAGCCAAAGTACTGGTGGTTCTGGGGGCTGGTAGACGGCGAGACAGGCGGCGCAGACTGGGTCGAAGACCGTGAGGCGATGCTGGAAGTAGACGTGCTGGCGTAGCCGGCGGCGGGCGTGCTCGAAGACTGGAGTGCAGAGAAGGCTGGCCGACTAGGCGCGCCATACTGTTGTTGCGAGTAGTTGGACATGTTGGCGAATACTTGGCGTGTAATTGGCGTGCAATGGGCGAGCGAGTGGTAGGTAGTCGTCGAGCGGCGAGGCGAGGGGATGGGTAAAGTAAATAGTAGTCCCGTGGTAGGTGGATATTACCCTGTACTGACGATCTTCTGCGCGAACCTGGAACAATTTGTGCGAGCTGGTCCAGACGTGGTGCAGTAGAGGCTGAAGTCGGGAGAGGGAGAGAAAAAGCAGGATATAGGCAAAAGCAAGGAGGAATGACCTGCGCGATAGGGAAGGACACAATCCATCGGTACCACTTGGACCGCGGCTCGGATTTGTTAGCTCGTGAATTTCGTCACAGGCCAATCTGATCTGCCGACGCTTGCCATCGCATCGAGACGCCAGCTTTGTTTAGTTTTACGCGGATTACCACTTCCAGGCAAAGAGTTGCTCGCCCTACTCGCAACATGCCCGTAAGTCCTCGTTGAACCTTCCCCAGACTCGCCTACTGACATGGGCAGCTCGTTTTAATCTCAGGTTCCACCTTCCCCTCCATGTCCCCCGCCATTTTTCGCTAACCCGCCCAAGGCTTCCCTTCGGCGGGCAAGACCACCAGAGCCGTCCAGTTGAAGGAATACTTCGAGTCCAAGATCGCCAGCTCGCCCCCTGATGCGCGCACTTCGCGTCTAAAGGTCCATCTCATCAACGACCAGACGCTGGGCGTGTCGCGCTCCGTCTACCATACCGCCAAAGCCGAGAAGGATGCACGTGCGGAAGAATATTCCGCCGTCAAAAGAGTCCTGTCGCGCGATGACATCGTTATCGCCGATGGCTTAAACTACATCAAGGGCTTCCGCTACCAGTTGTACTGCGAAGCTAAGGCTCTCCAGACCCCGAGCTGCGTTGTCAGTATACCATGCTTGTAGCCCAAGCACACACAGCTGACAGTCTTAGAGCTGCACATAGGCACGCCCGCCGAACGATGTCGCGAGAACAACAAGAAGCTCCTAGCCGACAAGGACTGCGACGGTGGATATGACGACGACGACTTTGAGAACCTCATCTTCCGCTACGAAGAGCCCAATGGCATGACGCGATGGGACAGCCCGCTGTTCATCGTGGTCGAGCAAGACGAGAAGCCGCCATGCGACCAGATATGGGATGCCATGGTAGGCAGTGACGGCAAGATGAAGATGGTCAAGCCCAACCTGGCCACAGTGCTGGTACGTGCCCCAGACGTATTGACGACCTTGTCTAACGTCTAGTAGAAACCGGCCACAGAGCAGAACTACCTCTACGAGCTCGACAAGACCACATCCGATATCCTCGCCCAGATAATGGTATACCAGAAGGACCACCCTGGCGAAGGGGGTGGAGAGATAGCCGTTGCCGATATCGAGAAGCCCATTGAGCTCCCTGCTACACCAATGACCTTGCCACAACTCCAGCGTATTCGCCGTCAATTCATCACCATGAACCGTCAGCACAGCCTTTCCAAGGCACGCCTGAAGGAGGTCTTTGTCGACTACTTGAATGCCGAGTTCCTGCGCTAGGGCGGCGACATCGTGGATATAAGGTAGGAGTGTCTCGTCTAAGCGGCTTTTCTACGGATACATCCTCATGCATCGCTGCAAAGGAACGTTGAAGGATGAACGGAATAAACTGAGTACCGACAGCTCAGTGAATACCAAAGAAGCTTGCCCTATGCTTGAGTCTTCTTGCAACAAGGACTTTCACGCTATCTCTCCGAATCTTCCCGATACTCCATACCCCTCACACGCCATAACTACGTTTGTAACGATGATTGGCATCCCAGTCCTTGCGCGCTTGCGACGACATGGTGTGACCTAGTCTGATCACCCCGCATTCCGACGTCTGCACGCTACCCAGAGCAGACCCCAGGAGACAGTTCGGGATCATGCAAACTTGCGGATTTGCAAAAGAGATGAAAACAAGGGCTGTTCGTAACTATGATTGGGCGTAATAGCTCGATTAGCTTCAACTTCCAATAACAATTTCCATCGTAGGAAAGCGATCGCGATGTATGACGTGTAACTATCACACAAAATCTTTGATCCGGTAGCAGCCAAGCAAGCACTCGACGATCATGACGCTGCGCATTGTGATGTCTCTGAAAATTGTCACTTCTTCTAATAGGCTAAGATCATACAGCATTGTGACAGCTCCGGCTCCATGGGCGCTCCATTACGTGGCTCGAGTCCTTCACTCTACTCAGCTCTACCCTCCATACATCCCTAGCGCCACGCCACACCGGCTGTTTGCATCTCCCTATGATTTCGTTCACCCGTGGCTCGATCTCGATATCCTTGAACGTCTCCACTCCCAGATAAAGGGCCACCCCGCATAATCTCCACGTGCGAACCATGTGGGTCTCTTATTGCCGTGCTAGTGCGCTAGCTGGGATGCGGGGTGTACGTGGATATTTGTGGCTGGAATGTGGAAAGTTACTTCCATTCATCCGATGTAGGATGGACGGATTTTGCCGGGAAACTTCTTGAGAGCCTGAGAAGATGACCATAGTTTTGATGAAAAGTGCGAGAACAGCAGATTGTACATGGCAAAGGGTTCAAATTAGCAAAACTATATACGCTTATTTAGAAAGAAGACACATTGTTTTCCTGCCCCGTTACGTCGTCATCTCTTTCGCTCTTGCAAGAAGCGTGGTATCTCAAAAGCAGCCAACTATATCACCCTAGATGATATCCTATACGCCAGACACCTGTTCACTGTATATACACCCATCATATCATCGTGGTCTCGTCGAGGCACCAAGTTACAACCCGCAATAAGCAGTATCCAGGCCCGTAAGATTTGCTGTGCTGTCATAGTCGCCTGGAATCATGATACCAGGGTAGAGTCTATCGCTGCCGGGCGTGGAACCATATTCACATGCACCGGTACTAAACTCTTCTCCACTGGTCAAGCTCTCATCACTGAAACTAAGGACGCTTTGAGGTGGTGGTGCCTCTGAGCTGTAGCTGCCCCAGTTCCAGACGTTTGGTGACCAAGTGACATTGCTGTCGGTACTGGCTGATTGAGGGGTAACGTCGACAAGGGCGTCTGCTGGTTGTCCACCGTAAATTGTGTCGTAAATGTTTGTCTGGCCATTGTCTAGTGAAGAAAGGAGGCGTTCCCAGTCGGACGACGAAACCTCGGTCTTGATACCTTGGTTGTTTTGTAGTGCATAGCTAGCTAGTGGGTCACTGGCGAACGACAGATAGTCAATATTGCGTTGCACCTGTTGTTGCTGCTGCTGCTGCTGTTGTTGTTGTGGAGTTGGTTGACTTGGACGACGTTTGTTCGGCATCGAGAAGGACGCGCGATGTGACAATGGGCTCAATGTAGGCTCCGAACGGGCAACAGGAGGCTCGGATCGAATGGACGATAAGCTTGTCGATGAAGGATTGGCATGTACGCCTACATTGGGCGAGAGAGCAGGCAGAGTTGCGCGGCGAGGCTCTTGGTCTAGTCGAGCGGCCTTCATGGCGCTTGGTGAGAAGCGAGCGGCAAGAGCCTTGAGGGATTTCTGTGTCGCGCGGAAGGTATCCAAAGGCGCTCCCATGTTGCTCTCTGAGTTGTGTCGTGACAGTGGTGGGGCTGGCATTTGCTCAACACGGGGAACAGCCACGATGCCACAACCGACACGACGGAACTCGGCATAGCCTGCAGCATTTCCACGCTCAAGCATATCCATGACGGAGCATACGAGCCGGTTGCTGTCCTTGATCAACTTACCCTCGCGAGCAAGCGTCAGGGTCTGGAAAAGCAATCCAAAGCCAGCTTGTACAAGTACCTCGTTGCGATTAAGGCAGAAAGAGAAGCTCAGCTTGCGCTCGTCGAGAAGTTCGACAATTTGCACGATATGCTTGCAGGCATCGCCAACGGCTACTACGGCTGACGAGCCCTTGTCGCCAAGATTAGCAACGACGGCTGGGCGGTAAACCAACGCCCTGATGTGATGGTAGGCGAGAGACTAGTGGTGTCAGCATTCTCAAAATGCACATGGAATCAAGATTCACATACCAGAACAGGGGATCTGCTGCTTGTAACGTTGGTGCTTGGCTTGTCTTGCGCAAACGTCAGCTTGAGGTGCGGCGCAAGGTTGCTCTGCCAGTCTTCCAACTCGTCGCAGAGCGACGCAATAGTGCGGAAGGAGATGTCATGTGATGCAGATCCGGGGTAGAGCTCCGTTAGGACCTTGGACAAGATGCGTGACAGGCGGAAGAGAGCTAGTGCGCTGGAGAGCTTAGTGTACTCGCCGGGCAGGGTCGGCAGGAACCCCTTCTCGGTGACGTATTCATCGTCGGCATCTACCGGATACTCGCAATGCACATCTTCCTCGCGGATTAGCTTCGGTAGCCCGAGGTGTGCAGCGGAGAGACTAGGAACGGTCAGTAACGCAACGGCAGGGTTCGGCGGGAGTAAGCTTACCAGTCGACCGTGTACAGCGACCAGAACAGCTTCTTTCGTGTTTCACTCGTCAGTGCATCGAGGGCGAAGCGCTTCTGTGACTGATGCAAGCCAAGACGTTGCGACAGGCCGACGGCCAGTCCCTTGTACTTGAGCACGCGGGAATAGTCGGCCCTCAGCAGACAGAAGATCTGGGCAAGGACGAGACTTTGCAGCGTTGCGACGTCATTCTCCATCAAGAAGCTTTCAATAGCGCTCTGCCATTGAGTCTCAAAGGAGTCGACATCTTGTCCGTCACGGGGCTTTAAAAAGTCAGTAAAAGGCTGACATGTGTCGTAAGGCATACATACATCGCTAGACAGCGCGGCAATTCCGAAAACCAAGTTGAGTTGTGCAATCGACTTCTTGTCACTCATGGCATCGGGACTGGCCACATACTGTTCGTAGAGCGACAAGAAAGTGGGGCGATGGAGAATCGGAAACAAAGGTGCCCATTCTTGGAAGAAAATGTTGATCATCTGATCCGAGACCAGACGTGGAGGAGCCTTGAAGGAAACGATTCGCTTGAAATGAGTAGAAGCTTGTCGCGCTCCAGCACCGAAGAAAGCGCTCGAGTTGATGTCGGTGGATAGTCTACCCGTCTCCTGTGCTTTTTGCTTGAACGCCTCTGTGGAATGTTAGATCTGCTGCATGCGGCGTTGGGAACCGTGAGTCATACCAACAAGTGTTCTTCCACTCGAGCTGCCCACGAAATACGAATCTCTGTTCAGGTCGTCAAGTAGAAGCGGTGCCTGCTGCACCTTGAATGTGTCGTCTTTTTCTTGTGATTCCTCTCGAACTTCCGAAGATCCCGGTGAATGCATCGAGGGTCGCCTGGCAGTAGGGAACGCTGTCGGAGAGCGCGCGTGCATGCGTGATAACATGTCAATCTTCTCGTCCTTTTCGTCAAGTAGATCCTTCAGGTCGCGGACCTCTGCTTCCAATACCCGTACTCGCTCTTCCAACGACTCAGTGTATCCTCTGGGGAATGCACGGCGGCTGAGCTTGTCACTCGTCTTGCACTCGAATCCGACATTTGTGCATTGCGTGCAGCTGGGGCGGATGCCGTCGCATCGTATTTTCTTCGACCGGCATCGGTCGCAGGCTTGGGCGATGCGGCTCTGGCAGCTTGAGCCGACCTTGATCACTTTCATAGGTAGTATCCCAGGCATTTTGGGCGTCGTTCGTTGCGCGTCGTTGGTGGTGTAGTAGTTTTCATCCAAAGGCCCAATGGGCGGTCACTGATAGGTCGTGTCACGTTCTGTCATCCGGTGCTCCGATATTCGGGTGTCGTTCGCGTATTGTGTTGTGAAGTTTGTGGCTTTTATCGCTAGGCGTCTAACGACGTGACTGCATGAAGGTAAAGCAATACTAGTCAGGGTGGATGCGTAGGATGTATGAGTGGGAAGATTAGACGGAAGAATTGGGGACGGCCTGGCAGATGTAAGCTGCCACCTGCCATCCTGGCTTAGTCTTTCTCTGGGGAATTTGTGGGCGCGCTGCGGGGCGAAGGCGCCATCCCACAAGGGAAAACACGAGCAGCACATCTTCGCCGATACTTTCTCGTCCATCACTGGCCACTAAACCTTAAAGCTAGCCTTGTTGCGATCAGCATGCCTGCTTGTCAGAATTACGACGGGCTTTCTCGGCACCCCTCAGCAGCCTCCCACGACCATGACTAGAGCTTTCTGCGGAGTGGGCTTCAGCGACTGTGAACCCCTACGCTCAAATCATGCTTGGAGGTCGGCCCGAACGTTGTGATTGAGCCACCCACCACTTTGTCAATTGCAACATGCTCTAGGCCTGTGCCGCAACCAAATATTGCGCCCGTCTTAACCGGATGGGTACCATCTACAAGGGCTGCTCAGCAGGCTGCCATTCGCCAACAGCCGCAATATTTGATGCCCGTATGACTACCACTCATCAGCGCACTCTATGTGGCACATTCTAGAAGACGGCAAGGTGATCAATGTCCTTGTTGACACGGAACGCGCAACCTGCATTCTGCCATGACAGGCTTAAAAGCTGGTTGTATCGACCAGGGGCGGATGAATGTGGACGACGCGGCAAGCCAAGGCCCAACCCGTTCTGCACATCAATTCTCCTAGACTTGAGCAGAACTGTCCTCGCGTGTCTGTGGTTGATCTTCGACCAGGCCCCGCGTATAAGGCTGATCGCGTGGATATTGGATGCTTCCAACAGTGACCGTTTAGGAGCGTGGCCGTCTGAGCCGTCTGAGCCGTCTGAGCCACTTCGGCTGTAGAGAGCACGACGAAAGTCATCCAACTGCGCCATGCATGTTGGCCTGCATTGTCGATTTCTATACGTTTGGGAGCAGAAATTTGCGTTGGGTGATTAAGAGGCGTAATATGAATGGCGGAGAGCCGATGCTTCTATTGATCTTCTATCATAGACGCGCTGCTTCCGTCGCGAATGCAGCGCGCGTGGGGAGGTATTAGATTGGATAGGTTCCACAATGGTAATAACCTCGTCTATCATGTGGGGTCTTTGTGTTCAGGAGAAATCCTCTTCTTCATCCTCTGCTCCCTCGTTTAAACCAAGGTAATGTATTACAGCCTCAGTGTCTAGGAGTTTGCCTTTCTGTATGCTGTCAATATGGTCCCAAGAAGAACATGCAGGAACGGCAACTTGGTAGTCTGGCAGTATAGCAGTCTAGCCCATCAGGCGCATGGTGCCGACCTTGGTGCGACACCATACTAGGCGAACGACTGTCCAAGAGCATGTTGTGACGCATGACTTATGGTGATATTGGGTGTGAAGCATACTATGATGTAGCTGCGAGCGCGGGGTATGAGAAGGCAATGGTCTTACCTGGCTATCAAGTGTGGATGCAGCACGCTCGAGCATGTCTAGCTCCAGACTTCGGAGTCGCTCCGCAAGTTTCCACGGCATGTCCCGCATGGTACTGTCCCGTCTAGCGCCCTTTGATTCCTTGAGTGTGTCGATCTGTGCGTCAACACGGTTTTGTAGAAGTACCGTGGCACGGAGTCGGAAGACATCCCATGCTGGGTCCTGTTCAAGGTGTTCCCGCAACTTGACCGTGTCGAGTTCTTGCTCATTCCAAAAAGACTGGATTTCTCTCTTGCCGTCCGTCGTTTGTCTGATCTTGAAGTCTAGGCCGTCTTCTTCGTTGACTACAACAAGCCATACGAAGTCGCTTTCCCATTCTATGTTGCCGTCCTTCTCAAAGATGCGGAAGCCTGGTGCAACCTTTGAAACATAAATCTTTGCAGGTCTGAGGGGGTCGTCATCTGGAATGTCAAGGTCAAGAAACATGACTTTCGCACAAGACGTTGTATCTTCGATAAATCCGTACGAAAAGATGTTCTCACATGCGCCTTTGTCGTCCCCGTACCTAATCTGGTGAGCGTATTTCGTGTGATGTGTTGGGATGACCTACGTGATCGTAACCTCTTCGCCAGGTTCGACATGTTTGCCCTCCCGAAGTAGTAACAACCCATTTCCGTTCCCATCGGTCTCATATAAGGCAGCTGTTGCATCTCCCGATGCATGATTTGCCATATCCACGCAGGGAACCATGCAGTCACCAGTACCTGGAAACTCCAGCGCTCTAGACCGGTACATGGCGTCGACACGCATCCAGTCGTCAAAGTCCAGCATGCCATTGTCTTCGTCTCACCAGTACTTTTTACACCAGCTAATTGACTTTGTCGCAGTTCGCAATTTCTCAAATTCGCGCAGCAACCCATTCAATTTTGCGCTAACTGCAGGTTTGAGCGTGGTTCCAACTAAGAGCTCCCGTTCTTCCTCGGTCCAGAATGTGGGAAGCAGCTCATCTGGAAGAAACTTGATGTATTCCGTGAGGGGATTCAGGACGCCAACTCCCTTTGTCTCAGGACAGCAAATGGTGGCTTGTAAGAGTAGAAATGTAAGTATGGCGCCTCTTGTCGTCTGTACTGCGTTAGTGTTGCGAATTTTTCGATTCTTCAAAGGGGCTGTCACACCCTTCCAAAGTCTCCAAGAGCTTCGAGAATTTCTCGAAGATGGTGGTCTGCCTTTGCAAGAAGTTCAATGTTCTGGCGAGATATGATCAATTCCTTTGGCACGGCGAGCATAGGCTCAGCGGCGCCTCCTTGGAGCTTCTTGTCAGCGATGACGGTTGATCCTCTGTCCTCATAGCCTGGTAGCGGGCCAACTTTGACACCATTAAACTTGACCCCATTGAACGTAGCCCATGTAGGTAGCACATCGATGGACTCTTTGAGCCATCCCTCTGTTCTGCCCCGTCGGATCATTGTAACCTTAAATGTTAGATGAGGCTTCACAACGCACGGCCGCGGCCCACTCCTACTCTGCAACACACAGGATATGTGGGTCGCCAAGGATATCTCCCAGAACAGGGCTTGAACTATGGAGTTTGTACGACAACTGCTTACTGTTGATGGTCAAAGTAACACAAAAAGAAATGACAACGGCAAGATGAGCGTATGCGGTGAGGCGATCGCGATGCCGACGGGCTCTAGTGCAGGCCGCGCAAATTGTCCGCGATTACTGCAGCAATCGAGATGCAGGCAGCCTCTAAAAGCCCATATATTGGACCCTGTGAGGTCATGCAGACACGACGACAGCTGCAGGTCCAAGTCTTGACGATGCTGGTTTCCTAAGAGACGGAATCAGACAGAGTCGTAGACGACGGGAAAGGAGATGCTGGCAAACGAGCATATGTGTACCAGGTCACGTATAGGCACTGCGTAGGGTAAACAACAGGGAGGACCTCACCAGTTGTTGTGTTGTTGTGGTGCTTGGACCAGCCGTCTAGAGTTGTTATGATGGCGTTGACGGGCATCCCGAAACCGCGGAGTGGAACTAGCGAGCTGGTCCGTGCATCTGTAAACAACAACAACATGGAGGATGTGCTTAAACCTCCAACCATCCGCCCGTCACACATCTTTACTGTTATTCCTTACTCCGACCGCAGCAGGACAAGCAGGCGTAGACGGCACCTCCGCTACCAGCTCCAGAACGACGACGCATATACTTCTGCGCTGCGCTGCCAACATCGCCGCTTTCGTCCCAAGTCGGCACCCCGTCCTTCCCCAGCTGTAATCAACACTTGAGGATCGCACCTTCCTCTTCCCCATGGCTTCACCACGCGATCGAGTAGCCAAGATGTCTCGCGCATCCACGACCAGCTATGGTCAGGTGATCGAGGTGAGCATCACAACACACACCAAAACAAAGCGATTGCGGAACACATTCTGATCGAGACCTCCTAGTACATTCAAGACCGACTCTATCTGGCATCCTACACAAGCCCGCCCGATGCCAACACGCCCTTTCCGTACCCCAAGCAAAGCCAGTCGCCTTCCAAGCGGTCATCGCGCGCGCAAGTAGGTCCTACTGCCGCAGGGCCTAAGGCGCATCCTCCTGTCTACTTCAGTATCGACAAGACTCTCCTGTACAATGCCTTCCATGGTGACTTCGGCCCACTGCACATTGGTCACCTCTACCGCTTCGCTGTTCAGCTGCATGAGGTTTTGGGCGACCCAGCCAACGAGGACCGCGCTGTCGTCTTCTGGAGCAGCGCCGACTCTAGGAGTGAGAGCACTACATCTACTCCCTTTAATTGCACAAATTAACATGCCTAGGTCGCGCAAACGCTGCCTGCATTCTCGCATGCTACATGGTGCTCATCCAGTCATGGCCACCTCATCTTGCTCTGGCGCCCATTGCCCAGATGGATCCACCCTGCATGCCCTTCCGCGATGCCGGTTACAGCCAGGCTGATTATGTTCTGAACATTCAGGACGTCATCTACGGTGTATGGAAGGCTAAGGAAGAAGGCCTCTGCGGTCTGAAAGACTTCAGTCTCGAGGAGTACGTCTGAGCCGCGCGCATCTCCAAACAGCGAACGCTAACAGTCCTAGATATGAGAAGTTCGAGCGCGTAGACATGGGTGACTTCAACTGGGTCACTCCCAACTTTCTGGCCTTCGCCTCACCACAACAACAACCCACACATGAGATCCCGACATCATCACCAATGTACGCAACGCTGCCTTCCAATATCGCTGAGATCCAGCGATCTGGACTCCCTGGTCCCTTCAAGAACGTACTCTCGCACTTTTGCGCGCGCAACGTCGGTCTCGTTGTGCGATTGAACTCGGAGCTGTACTCCTCATCCTACTTTACCAAGCTCGGCATCCAGCACTTGAACATGATCTTCGACGACGGCACATGTCCGCCACTGTCACTCGTACGCAAGTTCGTCAACCTTGCACATGAGATGATTACTGTGCAGAAGCGCGGTATCGCAGTTCACTGCAAGGCTGGACTAGGACGAACTGGCTGCCTCATCGGGGCTTACCTGATCTACAAGCACGGCTTCACCGCCAACGAGATTATCGCATACATGCGCTTCATGCGCCCGGGCATGGTTGTCGGTCCCCAGCAGCACTGGCTCCATCTCAACCAAGGTACTTTCCGAGAGTGGTGGTTTGAGGACACCATCAAGGCCAAGTACGCGCAGATGATGCCATCAACGCCTACCAAGTCACCGCACAAGCAGCGCCTTGCTAGTAACGGGCAAACCTTCACACCGCCCAACGGATCTTCCAAGCGCGCTGCGCTCGGTGAGATCGAGTCGAACGAGCGAAGCAACTCGGGCCATATTGGAGTACTAGAGGACAACTTGCCTGCGCCGACACCGGGACAACCGCGAAAGACTAGCAAGCTATATGGTAACGGCCGGTCACCACAGCGCATCGACGAGAACGAGCCCTTCACCAAGTCGCATACAGAGGTCCGAGCAGACATCACACGCTTCGATGGTGAGTCGGACGAGGAATTCCATCTCCGCCAGATTGCGCGGCGTACTTCGTCACGCTCCCCTCAGCGTTCACCAACCCTCAAGGACAAGCAGCGCCGCGCTTTCAGCACCACGTCTGTCGTCCAAACATCTGTAACACACACCTCTTTCGGCTTCGGTGAAGAGAGCGACCTCGAGAACACTGCACCGGCTGGCGTCCGGCCGAAGACACCAAAGGAGAAGAGCGGCAGTGGCAGCATCAACATGGGCAAGATCCGATCGAGCCCTTCGCGCAGGAGCACTGATGGCAAGTCTGCCGTACGGAAGACCAGTGGTCGTGTCGGGAGCTTAGGCAATGCCATCTCCCGCCCAAAGTCATGAGCCATGTCCCTGAATTCTGAGTTTCTGATCCTCAATCTTCATTCCGGGAGTTATAGCATGGCGTCTTGGGACACGACTTTCATCGTCCCTTCGTTTCTTGTCTCAGTCAATTCTTCGTCGCACAGCATGCCATCGGACTCGGCGCTACATATGTCGTCTGCAGGCGGGCGTTTTGAATCACTAAAGAGTGCATAACGGTGTTGGGTCATCATTCTAGGAGTTACTGGGGCGTATGGTGTGCTAGTGTCTCTTCTCTTTCCACTGTTTCATTTTCAGTGACTGTTGCGCTGCATCTTTACTTTAGTCTTGTCCCTTTTCGCGGTAATTTGGCTGCGAATATGTTCATGACGTGTATGAGTTGATGACTACTTCTAATTGTCCAAAAACAATGGCACTCTCTCTTCGAATCGAGTTCGCATTACTTGGAAGTTGTTGTGATGTCTGCATAAACGCTACTTTCTGCTGAAGATACAATAATACTTCGCTCGTGTGCTAAGACTTGTTGCGTTACCTAATCGCTGTCGGCTGGGCTACAGTGCCAATACGCAAAAGCATACAGTCGCTCCGGCGTCTCTAGCATGCCATCAACCCATTCTTGTCTTATAATGATCGTCGTCGCTCATGCTTCAAAAATCGCACGATCGTGCCAATAACTCAGCCAACTCTTCTAAGGCTTCCTGGTCCTCCGCGTTGAAGCCATTGAGTTCCGCACAATCTACGTCGATAATTGCTACGACCTACGAATATGTCAGCATACCAACACTTTGAAGCCAGAGAGTCAACGCATACCTTTCCATCTTGTACAATGGGAACAACAATTTCACTCCGACTCGCTCCGTCACATGCAATGTGTCCTGGGAACTTCTCGACGTCTTCAACTAACTGCGTCCTTGCCTCTTTCGCCGCAGTTCCGCATACCCCACGACCGAAGTTAATCACCTGACATGCTACTTGTCCTTGGAAGGGGCCTAGCAATAGTTGTGACGAATTTGTAGGCGATGTGAAGTAGAAACCCGCCCAGTTGACTGCGGAGGATGGAGAAGGCAAGGAATGATATGCGTGCCAAAGTAGCGATGCTGTGTTTGAGAAGTTGCTGTTTATAATATATTAGAGATGCTTCAAGTAGGCAGTTGCATAATAACATGAACGTACCAAACCTATGAAGCATTAGCAACGTTATCCCATCCTCTCTAGCGACTGATGACACTTACCCAATTCCTTTGCCCATCAAACAACGCTTTCGCTTGTTCAAGCACTTGTGCATAAACCTCCTTCTTGCTCATTCCGTTGGCGAAATTTGATGAATCGGCGTGCACCTAATGCCACTCCTAATCAGCCACCATCTCAACCACATTTTAGCCTAGGCTAAACGAGAGCTTCCCCTGCGTACCATGGCTGTTGATGTTGCGTTTTTTCGTTTCGGTCTCACAATTCTTTCTCGGACTGCTTTTGCTTGTGTGTCACGAAGACAAGGATGGTTGCTGCAATTGACAGTCGCCGATGCTTGCCGGGGAGCAACGATCGTGAATCCACACAAAGATAATTACGACTTCTATACTCCACGACAATATTCACGTTTCGTAAGCGAGCGATTCTATGAACATGGATTGAAGAATGGTGTTACATGACTGTTTCTGTTCTTGGGCCACAAGGGGCTTAGGTTACCAAAAATTGCGATCGCGTCATTGCTGTCTAATCTTATCTAGGCGTGTGCAACGCTAAGTGTTGTTGTTACCATCGCACACATACAGCAACAGACGTCCTTCGAATAGATGGGGTTATAGCCTTGCATTCAAGGGCATCAATACATCATCCAAAATTCAGAAAGATTCATTTCGGCCTTGCTTTGAATTCTCGGCCAAAAAGATACCCACCGCTGTCCTCCACTTGATTTGCAAAAATTTCACTGTTGCCAGCAAAGCAACCATCCACATCTATAGAGCATTCCAAAGCATCAGACGAGAGGCTTGAAGTATACCGTAAGAAGGGATCCAAAATGGGCAAGTATATGTACCTCTTCAACCTCAAGTATGCTTCATGGCAACAGGTCGGTTGGCGCAATGGTAGCGCGTGCGCCTCCTATAACTATAGTTAGGTATCTGCGAGCGCAAGGTTGCGGGTTCGAGTCCCGTGCTGATCGAGACGATTCAACAAAGTCCAATACTACGTGTATCAGACTATGTTCAGCTTTTTGACGGGTGAGGGTTAGGATACTTTTTTTCTTCTTGACTATATCAAGAAAGCAACAGCAGTCTTGTGTGAAAACCACAACCTGGAAACATCAAACATGCCTCCATGGCAAGGATGATTTACACCTATCATGTATAGAGAGGGTGTCTTTCCTTGGCTTTGGGAGCGTGCAAGCACGCCATCCGAGTCCGATCGATGATAAAAGAGAAAGCATTGGCATCACTAGATAGCTCTCTGGAGTGCGATCAGACCTTGAGCTTATGCAGATATGCATCCTTCGCCAATGCACCATTCTACTCATCTTCCTTTCTACTAGAGTCTTTGTTGTTGAGAATTAAATGAAGAACTACATACCTATATATCTGACGCACGCTTATCATTGCAGTATATTCCCTTTTAAACCGCGAAAACGGTATCTTATAATGTCTTCTGATATCCCGCATCGCATCTCTTCTTATACATCTTTTTATTTCCCTCCATATCTCTAGGTATCGCCCTTCTACCATGGTCTTAGATGTCCGAAAGGTATTCAATCGGTCGCGGGATCTTGCAGAAGAGAATGACTGCCACGCCACCTGTATGATAGATTACCTAGGTAACCTCAATGCCCAGCTATTGATCTTGTCGTAGCAAACCTAGTCCGTGTCTATATCCTCTTTTAGAAAATCATCTTCGAATTCATCGAAGAGGAGTATCCATCTTCTAAGCTTTAGTATCGAAACCCCGCCCAATGTAGCCTGTTTTGCCGTCTCTGTCGATAGATTTCCCGATACATGTACATTTAGATGCGTTGATTAGCTGTCGAGCACATTGAAGTCGTTGTGCAGGTGAACGGTAAGGCTATCGAGTCAAATATCTCAGATCACGAAAAGTGGATCACCCTCTCAGAGTATGCAGGTAGGAGCCAGCCGCAAAACCAGGCAGGTGGCGTGTGTATCATCTTTCATCCACTGCAGTGTTCCAAGGAAACCGGCTATCGCATTGACAGCAGTGATCGTTTCTACTAAATCCCAAGTCCGAGCCTGTGTGGAATGGGCAGCGGTTCCGTACAGCTCAACGAAATGCTGCGTGATTTTTTGTCGTAAATACGCAAGCGCAAATCACTGACGAGCTTTGCTCAAGGGCAAGACTCTACCACGGCATTCTCCAGGGTGGCTTAAAGTGCTTCAGATGCACGTGTTGCTTGTTCCGATACGCGCAATGGTGTCGGCCCCACTTGGATGTCACGTGCCAGCCCGTTGATCAATCTCGTGCTCAATGTAAAGCTGCTTACCAACCACACAGCGTCGCACCACCACGATGCCGTCTTCGGAATACACTGCGGCCAGCGGTGGTGCTCTGAAGCTCAAAGGCGGCGGCGTTGACAAGAAAAAGAAAAAGAAGAAGCCAAAGACTACCGAATCTACAAAACCCTCTGAAGACACGTCCATCGACGTCGCGAAACGATCCACTACCGACAATGACGCGCGCAAGTCACCTTCAGGCACACCTGGCCGCTCAATCTCGCCCGAGGCCGTAGAAAGATCGATACGAGAGGGTGGCGGAAGACAGAAGACGGAGGCTGAAAGGCGACACGATGAGATGCGAAGGAAGAGGCTGGAAGAGAGATTGAAGAAGGAAGGAGTGAAAACACACAAGGAGAAGGTAGAGGAGCTGAACAAGTATCTGAGTGGACTGAGCGAACACCACGATATGCCCAAAATCGGACCTGGCTAAGACGCGCTTGGGTTGGGTCAATGGCACAACATGTCGTCTATCTGCTGTAGCTTGTCGAACGCACCTCAACAACAATCGCCACGCCATAATGCTTGGATCCGGAGAGCTAATCGCTTCGAGGAAAACGACACACCTTTGTCTCGCGTATGCGCACACAGAATGGGAGAATACTTGCGATTTCGTAACGCAATATGCAATCATGCTTATGACAATGAGTGCGTCTTTGGTCGGTGGCTTATAAGATTGTGTGTATTCATACCATAATGTAAGAAATCCAGAATCTGATACTTGACTAGATTAAACCCTCACGCAAACTCTACTTTACAGACTTGAACTTTGCACGTATCCACCCGCAAAGTCCAAAGATTTCTTTTGTCTTCGATAAGGTCGGCCTGTTGGTCTTGTATCAATGCGACTAGTGCAGTGGCTTCTTGGCTTATCTAGTCAAGCACCCAGGCATGGCCAGGTACCGGTAGCTTGAACGAGGCGTATTCTCACCGCGTCTACGCGCCTGAAACCTTCTAGAATACTTTTCCATTGGTAGTCGTGACCGGCCTCTAGCTTTATCAGTGCACAAAGCCTGACGAAGACACAACTCCTACGCTTGCGACATGGATCACATGTGCAAATATCACGCCTCGAATACACGCACCTGCCCAAAAGATCGCCTAGGATGATGCTCGGGTCATCACACAGCACTCCGGTCTTTGTGTCTCCAAAACCTTCCATGTGATTGGATGGATGCGAGTCTTGTGCCATCAATTGAGAACAATATACGAGTCGCCACCGTCATTTGCAGGTTTACGAATCCAACCAAACCCCTGCAGTGCAGGCCGGCGCAGACTGTCCGTGCAATAACCCCATTAGTGCGGAGGGTTGTGGGGGACTGTTGCGCGCCTTCTTCTCGCCATCCATCGAAGAGGTACTAGAGTACACGCATCTCTAAAACCATTGTCAGCTGGGTCGTCTCGATACAACCATCCTACCAGAATTTGAATATATTGCGCGATCCAGTAGATGTGGCGATACCATCCTAGTACCCCCGCGCGCTAGAAGGCGTTCTAGAAATGCGTCCAATTCGGACAGCATCCGTCGCGTCATCCCTAGTCAGCCCACGATAGTGGAATCTGCTGTGATGGGTTGTAATGGACTGTAGCTTGGATCCACCTGCCGAGAAATGCTTAGCGCGTGCCAGGACTCCGCGATAGCTGCTTGCTCCAACGCTATTGAGGCTTGTCTCAATGCCAAATCGCACTTTAAGCGAGTTGGAACGCCCGACGCCCCATTCCGCTGTCGCGTGCTGTTCGAGGTCTCTGAAGTCAACCAAAGAGTGTGCCTTTGACAAATGTCATACAATTGGTACCTGCAAAGTTTTGACAACGCCGGTGAATAGGTTGTTGTACGGGAAACCGCAAGCAGACGTGTTGCACAAGAAGCTGTGCCCCTCGTTGAACAGACAAGGCTTGTGTCGAAGCTTGTCACCCAAGCATCTACCCCAGCACTGTGGTGCCATCCTTATCACCCTCCGGATGAGGTTTAGATAGTTCATGGCGGTACCGCGTGTTTGCTCGGCAACACCGTCTGCCAAGAAGTTCGTCTCATTTGCTCCCAATCACACCTTTGACCAGCAGGATCTCCGGAGCTGCGCCGCGACTAGCCTGTAGAATGACAGTCTCTGCTGTGATCTAGCCCATGCTCTTCTTTTGTGTGCGGTACCCTGGTGTTGGGATAGATATGCTGCAGAGTCGAGGGGCGGTTGTCGCAGGCGCCTAGGTATAAAGATCGTTCTCGTAACCCCATTCTCCCGGCTTGCAGGGCTATCATCTTTCGTGCCTCTACCCTTATTGTGCTCCCTTGGGCCTGTTGTCCCTGATATACTCAGGTTGGGTCCTCTACTTTGTTGGGCACACCCCCTTTGTGCTTCCATCCGCCTGTCACCCCATATTGGTAGCAATAGCACACCAGATATGTCGGTCAACGACTACGAGAAACAGCAGTATGCTGTCGCTGGCGAGACGCCTTCTGACCATGCTGTTGGAGACGTCACCGATACCAAAGGCAATGCCATCAACGAGGCCGCTGGTGTGTACGGCTCGGTTCAGAAAGCCGAGGACTATGGCTACGTTCAGAGAGGCCTCAAGTCGCGCCACATCCAGTTCATCGCACTCGGAGGTACCATCGGTACCGGTCTGTTCCTCGGTATCGGTAAAGCTTTCGCCAATGCTGGTCCTGTCTCTGTCCTCCTTGGTTACACCATTACAGGTGTTGCTGTCTTCGGTATGATGCAATGCCTCGGTGAGATGGCCACTTGGCTTCCCCTACCCGGTGCTATTCCCCAGTATGCTGCTCGCTATGCGGATCCTGCTCTTGGTTTTGCCGTCGGTTGGAACAACTGGTACAACAGCTCTATCACGCTCTGCGCTGAGATCTCTGCTGCCGCTCTGCTTATCAACTTCTGGGATCAAGAAGAGAAGTAAGTACCACCACTACTCCGACTGCGACAACGACTGACATGCCACTAGGTACAACCCTGCCATATGGATCTCTATCATCATTGTCATCATCGTCTTTCTTAACATCTTCGCTGTTTCGATTTACGGAGAAGCTGAATTCGTATTCGCGTCCATAAAGATTATAACGATCCTGGGATTGCTCATTGCTGGTCTGGTCATCATGCTTGGTGGAGGTCCAGACCATGATAGGCGAGGGTTCCGCTATTGGAAAGAGGGCGCTATGAAAGAATACGTTGGTACTGGTAGTACTGGTCGCTTCACCGGTCTTTGGTCTACACTTGTCAACGCTGCGTTTTCTTACGGTGGTGTTGAAATGGTTGCAGTTGCTGCTGGTGAAGCCGCCAACCCTCGCAAGAACAGTAAGCAATCCCCTTGTATCAACTGCATACGACAGCTACTGACCTTGTACTTCCACTAGTTCCCAAGGCCGTTCGACGTGTGTTCTGGCGCATCCTGTTCTTCTATGTTCTAGGATCGTTCATCATCGGTACCACCATCAGCTCGAACGACCCTCAACTTACCGATGACAACGCCAAAGGCGCCCAGTCATCGCCTTGGGTCATTGCGATGAAGAACGCTGGTATTCCAGTTCTTCCCCATATCGTCAACGCTGTCATCTTGACTTCCGCTACCTCTTCCGGCAATGCTTTCCTGTACACCGGATCGCGTTATCTCTTCAGTATTGCTCAAAACGGCCAGGCTCCCCAGTTCCTTCTCAGGTGCAACAAGAAGGGTGTACCAATCTACGCTGTCGCAGTTACAGCCTCCATCTCCCTACTCACATACATGAGTGTCAGCGCTGGTGCCAACAAGGTGTTCGGGTGGTTCCAAAACCTAACCACAATCGCATCGCTCTTCACCTGGTGCACTGTCACGTACACATACACTCGGTTCCGGAAAGCATGCATTGCCCAGAACGTTGATCGCAGCACCATGGTCTTCGCGAGCAAATGGCAACCATATGTCGCATGGACTGCCTTTACCTACTTCGCTCTCATCATTCTCTTCAATGGCTTCAAGGTTTTCACCACCACACCTTGGGGACCCGATGAGTTGACCGACTTCTTCACAGCATACATTGGTGTTGCAATCTTCGGTCTCCTGTTTGCGTTCTGGAAAGTCTTCAAAAGGACCAAGATGGTCAACCCAGCGGAGGCAGATATTTGGAGCGGTAAAGCGGCACTTGATGCGGAGGTTTGGCCTGAGCAGATCCCGCGTAACGCACTCGAAAGATTTTGGTTCTGGTTATGTTGATTGGCGATATACGCATCAGTGGTGTCTTTGACTGGTAGAGGTCCATGGCTAAACGGGAGATGTTGCAGCAATGAACACTGCATGATATGTTGAATGAACCATTTAGTTACCTTCGAAGAGTTTGAAAGTGACAGAAGGTCTTGACTGTAGATGACATTCCACCACTAGCTTGGTGATATTAAGTCTTGTATTTCCAGTCGCACTAGTCGCGCCCTACGGTCACGAAGGTTTGCCGTCGGATAAAGCATGGACGCCTTACCAGCCACGCAGGCGCGATACTCTTCATCCAGTACATCAACCCTGAACCGATGTAGCGCTCGCCGTGACTTTAATGAAATATGCTGACAATGATGCGCAAACTGCCAATGAGTCAACACTTATGGCGGCCCTACCGCAACACTTCCGTCTTATCATATTGCTTCTTATGGACCTCAATACGAGTCGCGCATGTGAGGAGTATTGGGTGCCTGACGCGTACGTACTCCTGGCTATTTCTCCAAATCCGTAAATGACTGAGATGCTTGAGTACATCGCGACAAATCGCAGGCGAGGCCGGTATGTAGTTCCATCACTCAAAGCCGTTTTCTTGGAATCAGAAAATCCATGAGCAACCTTTAAGACTTGAGATAAACGCTTGACGAGGTCGTGTGGTGTGTTGCGCCTTGCGGGTTCAATGTTTAGCCACGGGGGTTGCCGCTAGACCCACATATCTTCCTAATTAGTAATGCTGCGTGTCAGACCCTGTCAGGCCGGCGACTTTCAATCAACGGCTTCCAAGGCATCAACGTTTGTCATTCAACACCATTGCTAACTCCAGCGCTTCAATCGTTCTAACGGTTAAGAAAATCGTCGCTCAGAATCTGCGACCATCAAACTTTGTTGCACAATTCCTCCACAACATCTCAAACATCCACCGGCTATCGTTTGCGCTAGTCGATCTCCCAGTGATTACAAACATGGAATTGCGCAGCTAGCAAGAGCGAATCAGAAACATTATGCGTGAGCATCTACGAGACCCGTAATCGAACGAGTATACTATCCTACAACAAGCGGCAACTTTGACGACACATACACGGAAGCAGGATGACGAGCCGAGGAAATGATGGCAAGTCGCAGAATCCCTGGACGATGACGAACCAATTCGTCAATAGCCCAGACTCGGAGCCCAAAAAGCCTCAAGATCAACCACTAAACCGCGCCTGCGAAGCATGTCGCATCTCCAAGGTCCGATGT